CTTTCTGGCTGCTTGTGGTATTTTTTTTTTCCTTTCATCTGGAAACTCTGGCTTTTGCCTACGATGTTCCTATCTGTTTACTTTGGGAATTCCTTTCAGCAGGTGACTAGTGGATTCTCTTTCCATTTTGCCTTCTGATTCTAAGAGATCTGAGCATATGTTTTCTTAACGTATGATGCCTAGGTTCTTCTTGTGGTCATGATATTCAGTTAGTCTAATGATTCTTACATTTTTTTCTCCTCAGTCTATTTTCCAGATCAGCTGTTTTTGCTAAGAGATACCTTACACTTTATTCTATTTTTTGCTTTTGTTTTAATTTTTCTTGTTGCCTTATGGAGTCATTGCTGCCTGGGCAGGTTTCTATACCTCTTGGTCAAGCTCTTAATTCTCTTTTCAATTCTTTCTTCCATAGCTCTCATTTCTTTTCCCATTTTTTCCTCTAGCACTGACAGTCCATTTATAAAAACATTTTTAAAAACTCTTTTCTTTTAAACTCTTGCTTCATCTCTTCCAGGAATAGTTGAGTTTGTGCCCAGGAACAGTTGTGTTTTTCTCTAGGCCTTTCCTTGTAGATGTTTTGGAACCCTTCTCTTCTGGGTCTATATCTTGAGCTTTCCTGCCACTGTAATCCCATTAAGATGGGATTCTTTTTTGTTTTCCATTTTTGTAGCCTACTCCCTGACCTCAGACTTGATGTTAGGGCTGGGCATTTCTGGAGGGAGGATCTGGGTTGGTCTTTTGGGTGTATTGAATGTTGTTTCATTCCAGGGTCTCAGGACCAGCTTGGGCTGGGGATCATCTGCAAGCTTTCAGAGTTCCCAAAGGGGTCTGATCCAGGGCAAAGTCTGATTGCTGTGCCCCTGGTCTGAGTTCTGCAGGTTCCTGACCTAGTTCTGAACGACGAGAGACTTGCTACTGGGTTTAGCCACTGCCAGCCAGCTAGAAAACTCTATTGGTTCAGAGTGATGGAATTGTAGGCTCCCCTTTGGTTTGGGATTCCCACTCTGGTTATTTGTCTGCAGGCTGGATGTTGGAAGTGAGATTCTGGGGCCTGAGCCACACCACTGCTGCACCTGCCTTCTGGATTTCCTCCTTTCTCAATATACTGCCTATGGCCTCCCTTTCCAGGAACGTTATTCCTCTATGCAGATTCCCTTCCTAGCCCATCCTGAATCTGTGACTCAGACTTGGGTGGGGGGGGGGGGGCCCAAAGCTGCCATTTTGCACCTGTTTCCACTGCAGTGCCCTGGTAAAGGTCTGAAATTTCCTCTCTCTCTGGGTGTTGGAGTTCTCTCCTGGTGTACTCCTGGCCCAGTTCCGACCCCAGTGTCTAAAAACCCTTCTCTGTCTGTTTCCCTCTGTTGAGCTGGGCTAGATGGAGGACTCATGATGATTTTTTTAATATTTCACCAGGATTGGGATTTGGTCTGGTGCATATTTTAGATCTGTTTGGAGGAGTGTGTGGAAAGGATCTTACTCCTCTGCTTTCTCCCAGTCTGCCTTCTTGGCTCTGCACTCTCCAAGTAATAGCATTTATCAAGAATGATAGGATAGTTAGCTGGACCATAGAGTGTGTTAAGGGGAGTAATATGTAATAAATTTAGAAAGACAGGTTGGTGCTGGTTTAGGAATGGCTTTAAATGCCAAACTACCTAGGTTGTGTTTGATTCTGTATGTGAAACTGGAGCTCCCTGAGCAGGGGAAAGTGACATGGGCAGGCCCATGCTTTGGAAATATCACTTTAGCAGCTGTGGGAAGGACACAGATTGGGGGGGGGGGCATACTGGAGCCAGAGGGCCCAATTAGGAAGCTATTATTGTAGTCTGGGCAACAGGTCTTGAGGGCCTGAACCTAGATGATGGCCATGTGTGAGCAGAACCAAGGGAATGGGTGTGAGATGTGAATGTGGCAACAGGCTTGAATCTGAGGGAGAAGGAAGAGTTGAGGATGATGTAGAGATTGTGAACCTTAGTGTCTAGAATGATAATGAGAACTGTTAGAAATGAAGAAACTGAGAAGAGGAATGCTTTTGAGGGGGAAAGATACTGAATTCTGTTGTAGAGATGGTGAGTTTGAGATGTGTTTGAAATATCCAATAGGCAATTGATGTTGTGGGACTCTAGCACCATAGAGGTTGCATATATTAATCTGTGAGTCATCTATGTAGAGATGATAATTGAACCCAGGAGAGTTGATGAGTTCGCTAAGAGGGGATATAGAGAAAGAAGAGTAGAGGGCCCAGGACAGAGCCCAAGGCATGAGAGACTGACTGATTAGGTATAGAGCCAGTCATTGGTGTATTAGGTGTGAAGTGGGGCTGTCAGGTAGAACCTCAGAGTTGCTTTAAATTTTATTTCTCTAACCACTAGTTATTTTGAGGTTTTTTTTTTTTCATATGGCTATTGATAACTTGTATTTCTTCCATAGAAAACTGCCACTGTTCCTAAGCTTCTGGCTGCTTAGCTAGCTAGGGTGTTGGGGTCTTTGGATTTGGGATCCTTGAATTTGATCCCTAGCTTTGCCATGCATCATCTGTGTAACACTAGGCTTCGTTTCTTTTTTTTTTAGCCTTCGTTTCTTCATTTGGAAAATGGTGCTTTTGGTTTTGGTACCACCTACCTTAGGCTCATCTACCTTCAAGGCTCAGATAAGATATTGTTTTTGTTTTTGGTTTTGGGGTTTTTTTGGGGGGGCACTTGCCCAAAGTGACTTGCCCAGGGTCACACAGCTAGTAAGTGTCAAGTGTTTGATCTGAGACCGGATTTGAATTCAGGGCCGAGGCTCTATCCACTGCGCCACCTAGCTGCCCCTAGATAAGATGTTAAAGTTTGATAGAGCTGTAAGAATGTCAGCTATTGGTAACTGAGCAGGCTTAGAAGGAAACTTCATAAGCAGGTCCTAGGTGACAAATTGAAAGTGACCTTTGAGGTCATCTAGGCCAATTCCCCCATTTCATAGCCAGGGAAACAGGTGGAGTGGCACATGCTGTGACCCCCTGCTGGTAACATGTGACAGATTTGGGGATCAGTTGCCTCCTCTTCTCTTTCCATTTGTACCACAAACACATATGTGTGTCCTTCTGTGTACCAAGCAGCTTGGTAGACACAGATAGGAGCTGTGGATTTGGACTCAGAGGCTCTCGCCTCTATCCTAGCTTGCCTTCTTATACATTTTGGGTATGAGAATCTCTAGGCCTCAGTTTCCTTGTATATACAGTTTAGCCTAGAGGACCGCTGAGGCACATCCCGGCTCAAAAGCTGAGTTTTTGGTCACGTATTAACCTAGTGTGGCCAATTGAGAAGCTGGAGTTAAAAACGGACTGATCTTTGAATACAGAGCAATGAGTTTTGTTGTTTTCAGTATGGTGAATTTTTTGTTTTGATCCTGAGAATGTAATTGATTTTCTTTCTAAACTCAATTCATTGTCATTTTTTTTTTAAAGCTCACGAGGGGCACAGAGGAAGAGGTCTGCAAGATTCTTCTCTAGACCAAAATTCTAACTTACCATCTTCTGTGAGCTATGCTTAGATCCTAGCACTTACTCCCTCCTCCACACCTTGTGTGACCTTATGGGCCCAGTGCACACTCAGATGCCTGGCTTGCAGGTTTTCCCAGGGTAGCCTCACCCGATGTAACCAAAGTCATACCTACTCTGTTCTAGCATGCCTCTTGCCCTGGAGCCAACTGCTAAGTCCAGCTTCACCTGTTCAGTGCTGCCTCCGTTCTGTATATTCCTTGTTCCTCCCTCTTAGAGCCCTTTCCACATGGCAGGTAGGCAGGTGGCTAGTTTTTGAGGAACCTGGTGTCTTGGAAGCAGATGCTGTTGAAGCCTAAGAGGCAGATTAGAAAGCTGAGCCCTTTGCCTTTGCTTCTCAACCTTCCTCTGTTCAAAGACAAGAATTCAGTTCTTGGCACGTGTGTTCCCGAACAGCCTTAGGATACCAAAATATTTGGGGTAGCAAAGAACTGAAAACAGATTCGGTGCCCATCATTGCAGAATGGTTGAACAGATTGTCCGAGAAACTTGGGGACACTTGTATAAGTGAGTGGAAGCAGGAAAATAATATATCCAATGTCTACAATAATGTACCTGAAAAGAACACTAGAATTCAGCTGAAGTCTGTGTAATTCTATTGATCCATCTTGACCTTGAGGAGAGATGAGGAAATATGCCACCTTCCTTTCCTTGGAGAAGTGGTTGACTATGGGTGCAAAGGGAAGTGGGGGAAGTGATCTTCCTCTGAAAACACTCCTGATTTGTCAGTGTCCGTACTAAATCATTGTTGGATTGAACTTAGTTAATTGTATTCAGTTATGTGCAGATTCATATTCAGTGATTCAGTTTACAAAAAAACTTACAATAGTGGCATGTGACTTCCCTACATTCTCATGCTGCCTGTTAGCCATGCTGAAAAAGTCTGCTAAATTCAAATCCTGAGTGTGGTAAGTGAGTGTTGGCAGAGATGTACAGGAGGAAGGTTGGTGGCCCTGTCCTCCTACTAGCTTCATATTTCTGTAGGACTTTCAGCTTTTCAAAGCACCTTACAAACATTCTCATTTGAGCCTCCCGATAGCCCTGTGAGGGCAGTCCTACAGATATTAGCCTCGTTTTACAAAGAAGGAAACTGAGATTCAGCTGGTAAAATGTCTGAGATTTGGCTCCAGTACAAGTCTTCCAGACTACACCTTTGGAGTGCCCACTGTAGGCCCTGAGTCAGTTAAGTAGCTGAGGCCGGCCAAAGAAGGCAAGAGAAGTAAATTCCTGTGAACTGGAACCCTGAGCCAAAGAATGAAAGTTGGGTATGAGTGCAAGACTCCCACGGGCAGCAGGGATGCCAGGAAAGGCTTGGCACCTTTGGAACTGAGCCTCAGGCTGATTGGATAACTGCTACCCACCACACTGACCTGAAAGCAGGCTAGACACTGTTTCAGCTTCAAGCTACCACTTCCATAGTCACATGCATTTCTGCTTCTTTTTAAAAAGTCTTTAACAATCACACAGATTGGCTGAGCTGACTGGTCGCCCCATGCGAGTTGTGGGCTGGTATCATTCTCATCCCCACATAACTGTGTGGCCATCGCATGTTGGTAAGTAATACTTAGCCCAGGGCTTGACATATAGTAGGTGCTTAATCAATGTTGATTGACTGATCCATTAAAGTAGTGGCTTGTGGCTGCTGATGTCACCAGTTGCCATGGCAAGGCCTCCACTGACTCATGTTGAATGACAAAGATAAGGGGAAGGTACATATAGGAATAGTGAAGATGGTTTTCCTAGAGTTGCTGAAAAGCAATTGGGGAAAAGTCCAGCTTCAGCTTTGGATTTAGTAGGTAATTTTGTGAAAATGTAGCCATCTCGTCCTGGCCAGAGGGTCATGGAGTGGCTGAGAGAGACAGACAGACAAATGGCCCCCTGAGCCCCAAGCTAGCCAGCCCAAGGGGCAGCTCTGCAGGGGACATCTGATCTTTGTCTGCTTTTCTATTGCAACACAAATCACCTGATAATGATACCAAGTTTTTACTTTTGCCTAGACCTGGGATTTCATCAGCCAAAGTTATACCCGGTATGGAAAGATTGCTCTTCCACTGAGCTGAAGCCAGGATATATCTGTCAGAAGCAGGAGAACAGATCTCTATCAGAGGTTCATAGAAGGCCCTTTAGAGACCATCAGGTCTATGGAGGCCTAACAGGTCACACAGTAGTGTCACATTTGAACTCAGGTCTTCTGACACCAGAGCCAGTGGTATGGAGGTGCTACCACATGCTACTTTTCACTTAAGGTGAAATTCTGTGCAGTAGACTCTCTTTGAGAAAAAAGGGAAGTCACTTCTTGATTGAGAGATGGTAGATGAGAGGTACAGGATGAGATGTATTTTCAGACTTGGCTGTGTTTGACTCAGTGGGTTGTCACAGACAAGGAAACCAGGGTCATTGAAGCCTTCCCAAAAGCTACCAAAGAGAGCTAAGGGGAGTTGAGAAGGTGGCCTAGACTAAAACTCCCTACGACAAGAAAAGGTTTGACTTATAAACCTCAAGGAGTGAAAAAATTTGAACTTTGGGTCTCTGCCTTTTCCTCTGTGAGATGGGAGTGGGGGGAGGCAGACTAGCTGTTCTTAGGACCCACTTCCAGGGCTACCATTCTCTGATGTAATTATCTGTGAGTGGTGAGGAGTCATACAATGGCCAAATAAGGAGAGTGAGTCTGTTGTATGTCAGATTATAACAGCTGGCATCTCTAGCATTTGCAGGCTTGCCAAGGGCTTTACATAGTTTTTCTTACTTGATCCCGACAATAATCCAGGGAGGTAGGTCCTGTTGTTATCCCCATTTTATAGATGAGGAAACTGAAGTTGAGAGGAATGCCAGTAACTACAGAGCTGGGATTCCCACACAGAAAACCCAAGGCCTTCTGATTTTGAGGCCAGAATTCTTTCCACCATGCCACTCAGTCTCTCTAAGCTGAATCCCTTAAGTGCTGTGGTCCTTGAGCCCACACCCAGTGCCACATTCTCTACCAGCTTCCTTTGTTTCCTTGGTCAAAACTATTCAGTCATTTTTTTTTTCCCATTTGTGTCTGACTTTTTGTGACCCCATTTGGGGCTTTCTTGGCTTATTTCCTTCTCCAGCTCATTTTACAGATGGGGAATTGAAGCAAACAGAATTAGTGACTTACCAGAGTCACACAGCTAGTAAAGTGTCTGAGGCTGGATTTGAACTCAGGTTTTCCTGATTCCAGGCCTGGCACTCTGTCCACTTCACACCTAGCTGCCTAAATCCAATTCACTTGCGTATCATGGCATCACCTCTTTGAGAATGAAAGATAAACAACAACCACCTCTGTGAGTACTAGAACTGGCCAGTTAGGTAACACAGCCCTTTCTTTCTTTGTTTCTTTCCTTCCTTCCTCTCTTGCTTTTTTCTCTGCCCAAAGGAATGTAAATTTAGATCACTGAAAGCTAGAAAGATATCTTGGGGTTTATAGGTAATTTCCTTCTTAAGGACCTTGCCTTAAACCCAAATCACCCTGGCTGTCATTGATTGGCCAACAAGAGGTCACAGACTAATCCTCATCTGGTCATTGTTTGGGCCCTGATTGGCTCAAAATGAATACAAACAGCAAGTGTTTGTGTTTTGGCCAGAAACCCTGAGGGTCTTCCCCTCTCAGACTCCCAGTCCCTTTTGTTTTTTTTTTTAGTGAGGCAATCAGGGTTAAGTGACTTGCCCAAGGTCACATAGCTAGTCCTGTCAAGTGTTTGGGTCTGAGTCCACATTTGAACTCAGGTCCTCCTGACTTCAGGGCCAGTGCTTTATCCACTGCGCCACCTAGCTGCCCCTCCCAGTCCCTTTTGGACTATGTCAAAAAGGCTATTCTCTGCCTCATTTCTTACCTAGCCTTAATCACTGGAAGGGCATTGCCTCAGTCAAACTAAGACCTGGAAAAGACCTTACTGGAAAAGGCCAAGGTCTCCCACTGCACCCTGGGCCATCTCCAGTTGTCCTGATCTATATCTGGCCACTGGACCCAGATGGCTCTGGAGGAGAAAGTGAGGCCATTTTGTACAGCTCTCCCTCATTTAAATCCAATTCACTTGTATGTCATGGCATCACCTCCCTGCTGTCATGGTCCTCTTCAAGAACGAAGGACAAACAACAACCTTGTTTGGTATATAGAAAAGTCTCTATAGCACTTTATTGTGTATCTTTCTAATGGATAAGTAATAGTGAAGAGGAGGGGGTTTTGGGGTGCTCCTAGATGCACAGAAGCACCCCAAGATCACGGGAAAAAGCCCAGATCTTGGCGCCGAATCTGCCTTAATGAATTCAACTCAGATCTTCCAGCCAGAGAAAAAGTTTATTAAAGATAAAGCACATAGGCCAGACTCCCAAGGAACCCAAACATCAGTGATCTAAATGGGGGCTGGGGGCTAAGGAGGCCAGGTGACTTATGAGCGAGCGTGAGGCAGTCTCAGCCTCTTGGGCATGAAGAAAGCTCAGTGTCTGAGTGGGGGCTGGGGTGGATAGGCCATGTGAAGCCCGTGAGGACTAGCAGGCGAGAGCCTCAGCCTCTAGGCTTGAGAACAGCTCAGCGTCAGAATGGGGCAAAGATGAGTCTTAAGTACAGAAAGACTGGGGAAGGGGTCTAGGAGTGGCTAAGCAGTTTGGAGTGACGGGAGGAGGGGTCTAAGGAGATCTGGGTGGGAGTGGCCAGCAAGCTGGGGTGAACAGAACTCCTGGGTCCTGGACCCCATGGTGCCTAGCTAGGATTAAGGGTGAGAAGTGACCAAAGGCCATAGGAAAGTGAAACAGTGGAAGGGAGATTGGGTGTAGCCACAACGTAAGGCCAGTTGAAGGGGGGAGGTGATTGAGAGGAATGGTACAGGTGAGAATTTCCATTTGGAATGTCTGAGAGATCTGAACAGACAACGAGAATAGATAATGAAGGGAGCTGGAAGGGGAAGTTTGCTTCCAAAGGGCTTTTATTTTTTTTTTGTTTTGTTTTTAGGCAATTGTGGTTAAGTGACTTGCCCAGGGTCACACAGCTAGTAAGTGTCAAGTGTTTGGTCCGAGGCCGGATTTGAACTCAGGTCCTCCTGGCTTCAGGGCCAGTGCTCTATCCACTCCGCCACCTTGCTGCCCCTCAAAGGGCTTTTAAAGGGAAATAAGGCAGTTTCTAAAACTTTAAGGTATTTCTGGGACTGGTAGACAAACTGAAGCCAGGTTCTTTTTGGGGCCAGGAAGGAAAGTGCATTTGAATAAGATTTCAAAGAGAGAATCTGAAAGTTTTAAGGTTTTTCTGGGAATTGTAAACAAAGGAGCCAAATTCCTTTTGAAAAGGGGCAAAAAGGGAAAAAGGACAAAGGTAAACCTCTTCAATAGTGTATGTTACAGCTGCAGTAAAGGTGTTAACACTGGTGAAATCTCATGTGTTTTGTCATAGCCCTCAACTAGACTCTTAAGTTTCATGAGATCAGGCACCTAGCTAAATTCTATTTCTCCTTTAATACTTAAAACTTTAATACTCCTTTAATACTCCAGACTACATAGTATTCTACAAACAGTAGATGTTTAACAAATGCTTATTAATTTAATAGCTTTTTTTTAAACTAAAATCTGACTACCTTTAAATGGAAGTTTCTGAATTATTTTGAGTTTTCATTAATTTTTTTATTTAAAGTACTGATTTAGGTTACTTAAAAAGACAGAATAAAGTTTCATCATTGCATTTTGGCAATATTTTAAGAAATCCAAATGAAATAGGAGTTCAATTGAGCATCTACTGTAGCCCGGCAGTATTATATCCCATCATTGAGCCTCTTCAAGAACTTTCTGAGAAGGCTATCAATGGACAATTATGTTTTATTTGTGTCTCTGGTATTTGTAGATATTCGCACCCAAGCCATGTACCAGATGATGGATGAGAGCTTTGTGGGACTTATTTTCTCCTGTTTTGTGGAAGACAAAAACACCAAGGTATGTGGTGTATGTAGACAGAGAAAAAATTTCTAGCAGAGTCGTTTTGAAATAAAAAGTTGCTATTGTGGTGAGATTTCTTATTAGGTTTATAAGGGATTCAGATCTCTACAGCTCTCGTCCTTTTGAGCCTGGGCTGGTCTTGGTGAAGAGAGGTAGGTTTCTGTTTCAGGCTTTTTTCACTGAGCCGGTATTACTGGAATGGGACCCTCCAGGCTGCTCAATTAGCTTCTACTTGAGATCATGCTTGAATGATCATAACATCCACAGGGCTTCTTGAGCAGCTGGGATTGAAGTTGAGACTAGAATGCACCTCTCTGGGTAGGAGTTTTCTAACAGAGTTCCAAGTGACCATGCATTTGAGATTCCACTCTCGTCCTCTGTATTTCAGTTTTACTCTGCCTTTTGGGTCTGGTGTGATTCAGACTTGTGGTTTCTTTGATTTGGGGAATTCCTTGATATGGAAATTTCCCCCACCAGTATAGAGCAGCAGCTCACCTAGGATTTAGAGTCTTGGAAGGTTAACAGGGGCACGGATAGGTTACTGATTGGCACTGATAAGTTAGATGACTTGCCAATATATGTCCAAGTTGGGAGTTGAACCCAAGTCTTCTTGTCTCAAGGGCAGTCACAGTGCCTCTTATTATGGTACTTATGTTCTTTTTTTTCTTTTAATTTTTTAAATTAAATTTCTTTTTATTTAATTTTTCTTTTAAAAAATTTGCCTTTTCTCCTTCCCACCCACATATTCCACTTGAAAGAAGAACAAAACTCCAGTTTCAAACATGTATAGTCAAGCAAAAACCAATTTCCGTGTTGACTATGTCCAAAAAGGAATGTATCTGATTCTATGCTTAGTCTTCACCTCTCTAAAAGGACATGGGCCACACGTTTCACCATGAGTCATCCAGAATCCAGGATAGCCAGGATCAGCATTCCTAAGTCTTTCAAAGTTGATTAGCTTTACGGTGTTGCTGATACTGTATAGATTATTTTCCTGGTTTGGCTCATTTTACTTTGCATCAGTTCATATAGTCTTCTCAGTTTTTCTGAAACCGTCTCCTATGGCACAATAGGATTCCATTGTGTTCATATAGTATAACTTGTTTAGCTTTTTCCCAATTGATGGGTACCAGCACCCCCTCAGTTTCCTATTCTTTGCCTCTCTAAAAGAGCTATGAATATTTTATAAATCCTTATTTAGAATTTGTTTTACTCAGGACTAATCCCTCACTTAATCTATACTTTTTCTAATTCCCCCTTCTCTCTTCTGCCCTTTTTCTCTTATTTCTCTGGAGTGAAAAAGTATTTCTGTACCTAATGTGTGTGTGCATTCTTTCCTCTGTTGACTGGTTCAGATGAATGAGGGTCAGCTACTCTCCCAACCCTCTTCTTCCTTGTTTGTATAGACTTCTATTTGAATACCCTGATTATTTGAGATAATTTTCCCTAACCTTCTTTTCCCTTTCCTCTCCTAGTATATTGTTCTCCTTTATTTCCATTCTTCTTTTGAAGTCAAGATGTAACAGAACCACTCCCAAGCCTTCTTGCCTAATCAGACTCCCTCTGTAACCCCTGATGATGATAGGGTTCAGAGGGGATACATGCATCATCTGCCCATATTAGAATGTAAGCAGTTTATCATGGTTTAATCCCTTATGGTTATTTGTTCATTTTTATCTTGTTTCTCTAATGCCTGTGTTTGAACTTCAAAGTTTCTACACAGCTCTGGTCTTTTCCTCAGGAATGCTTGGAAGTCCTCTATTTAATTAATGATCCATTTTCCCCCTTGTTGCATTATCCTCAGTTTTGCTGGGTAAGTTATTCTTGGTCTCAAGCCCATATCCTTTGCCTTCTGGAATATTGTTTTCCAAGCTCTTTGCTCCTTTATGGTGGTGGCTGCTGAATTGTGGGTGATCCTGACCGTTATTCCAGCATCTCAGGGACAGGCTGGGGACCTGTAAGCTTTCAGTGCTTCCAAGGTGATCTGATTCAGGGCAAAGTCTGATTGCTGCTCGCTGGGGTGAGCTCTGCAAATTCTTTGGGTTTTGGATCTGAGCAACACAACTGTGGAGTTTTAGTAGACTACTGTTGGACTCAGGTACTGTCAACCAGATGGTTCAGATTGACAGAACCACAAGCTCCCCTTTGGTCTGAGTTTTCTGCCCTGGTTATCCTGCCACAGGTTTCAGATTAGGCTCGAAGTTAGAACTGAGACTCTGCTCTGCTCCAGAGGGCCGAGCCATACAGCTGCTGCTTGCTTCTAAAATTACTTCTTGTTTAGTACAGAGCCTAGGGCCTACAACCATTTCTTACCCAGGAACACCAGCCTTGGCACAGATCTGCTCTTCAGTCTGCCCTGGATCCATGTAGTGAGGTTCAAAATTGCCAGTTGCCACCTCTTCCTGCATCATGCACAAATTTAAGTCCCTTCGTGCTGACTCTGAGACCCCTCCTGCTCTGATGCACAGCCTCTTCGAGTTCAGGAATACTCTGGCACACTGTTGGCCAGACCCCCTCTGTCCCCAGAGTCCACAGACTTCCCTTTCTCCCTCAGCTGACCTGGGCCAGAACAGTGATTCACTTGGATATTTTTCTTGGATTTCACCATCAGGTTGGGCTCTTGTGTATTTTTCTGGTTGGAGGAGGTTGGTTTTTATATTTTGGAGGGTGGGGAGGTGGTGCTTGCTGTTCTTCTTCCTGCTACTCTGCCATATTGAGTCCTCCATGCTTATAATTGTTTAAACCAGTCTTTCCCTCTGACATACTTAGGCCTTGGGATCCTGACCTTTGTCCTTAAAGTAGAATGCCCTTGCTTTTGTCATGGGAAATGAGGTGCGGAATTAGGGTGTCTTCAGGTCCCTGCTGTACTCATTACTGGTTGTCACTCCATGGGTACGTTGCTCAAAGGGAAGGAGGAGAAGGGAGGAAGGGATGGTCAAATTTCTCCTCCCCCCTCCCAGGGCCACAAGCACACAGCTGTGTGAGTGCCATAAGGCTGTTCTCAATGTGACATGTTATCATCCCACTCGAAGAACCAAGGATCCTAGGTCTAGAACAGACAGGTCCCTCAAAGGCTGCCATATCCAACCCTGTCATTTTATAGAGGGGAAAACTGGGGCCCAGGAAGGGAAAGGACTTAACCCAAGGTTACATAGGCAGAAAATATCTTTGTACTGTGTCCTATGACAGTTTGTGTGTTTTAGTTCTGAGCTTCTTCATTATTTTCATGCTGTCCATTTTCCTTCTTCCTCTCCTCACCCTCTCTTTCCATATACTTTGTTTCTACTTTGATATGTATTTTAGAAGGCAGTATGGAATGGTGGACAGAGGCCCTGGCTCTATGACTCACTGCCCATGTGACCTTGTGTGTGTCACTGGACTTCCCTTATCTATAAAAATGAAGGGTTGGATTCCATGGCTTCTGAGGGCCTTTCTTGGCTCTAGGTCTAGCTTCCTCTGTGTGACAGTAGGCAAATCACTTGACACATCCCTGGGTCTCAGTGCCTTCTTCTGTAAAATGAAGGCCTTGAGCTGACCAGCCTTCTAGCTCTAGTCTTTGCCAGCTCTGACTCTGTGAAGTTTTACTGACTTCTTTTGGGCTTTAGGTTAATTGACTTTTTGGTAGCATTTACCCTCCTTGTTTTGATACTACTGTCTTCCTATTGATTTCTCCAGACTGGCCGTATACTCTACACTTGCTTCCAGTCCATTCAGGCCCAGAAGAGCTCAGAGTAAGTATCACAGCGGGGGGGGGGGGGGGGGGGGGGGGGTGGGTGTGTGTGTGTGTGTGCGTGCGTGTGTGTGTACACACATTTTTAGCCTGGTAGTTTCTATTCCATTTTTTCCTCAAGTATTAAGGGATTTCTACACAGGTATAATTCAACCTAAGCATCTCAAGGAATGTTTAGACTACCTTCATCCATAATCATCCCTTTGAGGAATGAATTCATTAGCCTTTTCTGCAGATTGGAGGTACTGGGGAGCTTGGCATCCCATAACCAGCCTGAGAATAGAACTTTGGATTTCTCATTCTTAACTCTTGGAGAGGCAGCCTGGTGGTGTAGGCAAGGACCAATTTTGGAGTCCTAGAGATCTGTGTAACTGGGCTAGTCACGTGAACCTGGTTTTATAGCCCATTTGCTGATAGGCATCAGGGGAGGGAATCTCTACACTGAAAGTTTCCTATATGAATGAGATCACAGGTCCAGACCCAAAACCTTCCCTTAACATCAACCTTGCCCTTTCCTTTGATCACTTCAGCATTTCTGGGTCCTTACTGTAAACTTGATTTCAGACTCCTAGTATTAAAACTCCAGTTTCACTCAGAGTCAACTTATTTATGAAAGAACACTTGCTATTGAGAATGCCCTACCTTTACACGATTGTTGGGTGAACCAGTCTTTCCAGAAACGCCAATTTCTTTACACATCTTTAGAATAGGGGACAGAGCCTCCGTGGGCTTTGTCATTTATCAGTATTGTCATAAAGGTTGGGCTATTTGCTAGGTCTGTCAGTCATAAAGTACTCAAGGGTCTTAGAACCATCAACCTTAGGGTTGGATAGATGACCGGAGGTGGATGGGGGTGGGGGTGGTGAAGAATGAGAATCACCAAGTCACCTTTTAGCCTGCCTTGCCTTGTCTTCACTGTATAGATGAAGCAGCTTTGGAAGTACCAAGTTACTGTGGTTTTAAAGCAGAAGGAAGACAGATGCTATATTTCAAGTTTTTAGATAGTAAAAATGTCAAATGTTATGTTTCTGAGTAATATTTGAGTTAGCAACGTAACCTGCTTGTGCAACCAGCCCTTTTTCAGTTGCTTTCACTTGTAATGGTTATTTTAGCTTCCCCTCATTAATAGTCTAGTCAGCCTTAATGTGTGTGAATTCCTTTGTCACTCTATGCTGGTGGCTTAGGACAGGAAGGAACAAGGAAGGCCTTCAGTGTGCTGGCTAGATCCTCTCTGGAGAACTCTGGGTAAAACCTGGACAAGAAGCCCTCACCTCAGGCTAAGAAGGCATGGAAGGGCTGGCATCTGGCAGTGGAGGAAGCATTTGACACCAGTGAAACCTGGGAGAGGACTAGCTTTTGAAAGCATTTTCTCTTTTAAAAGCATTCATTCTCTCTGGCCCTGTGTTCAGTTTGACAGACATTAAGTGCCTACTGTGTGCTGAGCACAGACAGCACAGCTAGTGGATGTCCACAGCTTGGGCATCAGAAAGCCCTTGGCTCAGCCCATCCCTGCCACTAGAGGCTGCACCTCACTATGCCTTAGGCAGCTTGCATCGGTGGAGGAAGTTAGTGAAGTTTTTGAGGAATATGATGAATACCTAGCACTGCTGGCTATGGGGAAGACTTAAATGTTAGATAATCTGCATTCTTCTTGGCGTTTGTGTGGGAATTAAAATTGTCCAATCTACAATAAAAGAGACTGAAGCAGAGCTCTGAGCCATTGGCACTTTAGTAAAGGGTCCTTGGTCCCCTCTAATGAAGTGAACCTCAGATCTTCCTCATGATCTGAGATGCCCTTTTCTTCCAGGACCTTGTTTTTATAGGGTTTCCAAATATGCAAAACATGCATGGTTGAAATACAGAATCTCATTGATTGATAGACCTTGCTTTTGAGGGCCAAAAATGACATATTAGCAGGGGTGTCACAAGTTGGGTGAAGCATGGGCCATCTCCACTGACTAAGTGCTCATACGATAGTCATAAGATGGTCATCTACTGGTGTTGGACAAGAGAGAATGGTCTGGAGGTATAAAAATAAATTGGAGGGCTTTCCAAAGCATCAAGACATCCCACCCATGCTGGGTTTGGACATGAAATTTGAGTAAAACAGGATGGAGATATCTTTGTCAGTATTCTTGTGGTTATGCAAATGAGCTTCTTAACTTGGTAAACAAGTAGTGAACATTACATTCAAGTTTGAGGCCCACTATAAGAACCTATCAATCCCTATATGATTTATGTAATGTATCAAACTGATTAGAGTAAGGGTCCAAGTGAATTATTTCTCACATTCATAGTCTATGAAGAAAATAGGACCCACACAAATAATGGTCATACAAAATAATATAAAAAGGAAGCATAAACACAGTAATAGTAGAAGTTCAGGGGGAGCCTGTCTAGAGGATACTGTATTCTTTGTTTTAAGAACAAGTCTGCCAAAACTAATTGTTTATTAATTTAGCATTATTCTAAATTGAGGTATTTTTAACCTATAGAGAGAAATGTCTAAACTGGTGTATGGTCTGTCACACTCTATCCCCAACATGCCCTCTGACATGTCTACCCCCAAATGATTTGAGGTAACATTTGTAGGAATCTCAAACAAGGAAAATGCCCTCAAATGTCATTGCCCCTACGTGGGTCATAGGGCATGAGGAAGAAAAGGATCTAAATAGGGCTACAGATAGGTTGGGTGACCACCCTTAATCTATTTCAGAAGAGGACAAGGAAAGGGTTCAAGGCTGGAGAAAATATTGTTTCCTAATATTTCCAGGAGATTTTGAATATGCCTTCACAGTGAGCAGGATGGTTGAGCCTTGGGGAGAAGCCGCAATGTAGTAGAGCCTGGGAATACTTTTAAGAACGGTCAGTATGTCAAAGTTTCAAGTGTTCTCTAATACCTGCATTGGATTGAGTTTCTTTGGTGTATCAAAGCTCAAGATTGATTCCTGATTAATATGTGAAGTCGGTGGAAGGACAGTCAGCAAGTTGTTCATTAAACATCTGCTATGCGCCAGGCTCTATGCATGAAAAGAAAGACAAAACTCAGTGTCTGCCCTCAAGGAGCTCACAATGTAATGGGGCAGACAACATGCAAACACCTATGTGTAGAAAGGCTGTGGACAGGTTAAATTGGAAATACTCAGTAGAGGCAGGTACCAGCATTAAGGGGGATTAGGAAAGGCTTCCTGTAGAAGGTATAGGACTTTTAGGTGAGCCTTGAAGGAAGCCGGGAGGCAGAGATAAGGAGGGACAGCATTTGAAGTATGCAGTATAGGCTGGAGTTGGGCATGGAGTCTTTTGTCTGAGGAACAGCAGGGAGGCCAGTGGCACAGGGTCACAGAAAGGTAGGAAGGGGTCAAGTTAAGAAAGGGTTTGAACCCCACAGAACTTTGTAATTGATTCCTGGAGGTGTTAGGGAGCTGCTGGAGCTTTTTGAAAGGGTTGGGGGGACTGTTAGGCAGATCACTTTGACACCAGAGTGGAAGATGGACTGGAGTGAGGAGAGACTTGAGACAGGGAGACTTGACCCAGAAGGGTGTTTGGCAGGTGGGAAACTGGAAGAGTGGTGGTGCTTTCAACAATAATAGGAAGAGGGGAGGTCTCGGGGAGGGTGTGGTGGGGATAATGAGTTCAGTTTTGTACATGATGAATATAATTATAGATAGATGCCCAGTAGGCAGTTGGAGAAGTGAAATTGGAGTTCAGCAGAGAGATTGGGGCAGGAGAAGAGAATCCTTGGCATAGAGATGATCATTCAATCCATGATAGTTGATGGGAGTGAAATAGGATAGGGCGAGCAGAGAAGGCCCTGGACCTTACCCTGAGGGACACCTACCCAGATTAGAGAGTGTGATTTGGAGGAGGATCCATCTGAGTAGACCAAGGAGGAGCAGGCAGATAGGTGGGAGGGGAATGGGGGGGGGATGAGGAGAGAGTATGCACAGAGATCTTGGAGAATGTAGATAGAGAAGAAGCTATTGAATGTGGCCATTAGTCATGCCCTGAGTTTCTTTTCAGCCTTTTCTTTTCCAGGGGAATTATTTAAGGTGTTCTTTAAATAGAGCTTTTTAGCACAGGAAAGTGTATTGGGTCATTCAAATGGAAATGCAAAATGGGGGGCAATTCTGGCCCATTTGTATTTCCTGAGGACTCTAATCAAGGTCAGATTGCTTGCTTAAGTGAACAATTAGCAATTGAAGGAGAGACTCTTAGAATTTTAGAGCAGGGTGGGAATTTGGAGATCTAGTTTTAATGGACATAGGGGACCTGCTAGAGTTAGCTAGCCCATGACTCTACATGAGCACTACATGGGTCAGATGGCCACCATCCAAGTAGTTTTTTCCTCACTGTGGATTTCAGCTTGTGACCTCTATTGAGCAACTGTAGGTCAGTGGTCTAGATGAGGAATAAACTACCAGAGAGAACACGACTTAATTTCTGGCAGATCCCCGGACTACACCGGGTTTCTGAGGTGCCACTGAGTTCAAGTCACCTCTTAAGGTTTGGTTGCAGCCACACCCAACAGTAAGCATTTGAATTAGGCTAGAAGAAATAAACAGTTGTAGAAATCCCAAAGGACCTTTTGGAGTGACCTAAAATACATGGTGTCTTTTGTCAGCTAGTTCAAATAGTCCTGGATATACCACACCTGGCTGGACTTCCTGTTGGTTTCCCCTACTTGACTTATCTAAGATCCTTGTCAAGTATTAATATAAATGTGTGGGAAGCTAGGCAATGTAGGCGGCCTAGTGCCTGACTGTGAGACTTAGGCAGACCCAGGCCCCATCCCACCTCTTCAGCTTGTCATCTGTGGGATGGTGGGCACTTCAGCTGGCCCTCCCCCAGCCAACTCTCTTAAGACCGGTAAGTTACATAGGAGTTGCTTATTTGTATCAATGGAGGGAGTTTCCACACTGGCAGTTCCCATGCTTACTAAATCCTATGATTTAGTCTGACCTCAGACTTCTTTTGTGATACTTGGCCCTGTCTGCCTTGTGTTATGCTGTTCTGGGTCCCTACAACACAACAAGGTGATGTGGGCCCTGCACATAATAGGCATCAGCAGGTCAAAAGGCTCTTCAAGGGACTGTAGCTGAAGCTGCCTCAAACACTTGCCTTTTACAGGTATGAGAGAGTTGATATCCCACTCCACATTGTGCCTCAAGATACCATGGGGAAAGCGTCTCTTGAGGCAGCCATTGAATTGCCTAAGATTCTGTGCCAGGAGGAACAAGATGCCTACAGGAAGATCCACAGGTACTACCACTGCTGCCACCTTTGCTTGAGACCCAGGGAATATCTGTAGTTTGGCTCACATCCCCTCTTGAGGAGTAGAAAGAACATGTCAATATTCTCTTGACAGTATCTTTGGGTCAGAGGCAGGCATTGTGATCCCTAGGTTCCATATTAGAAAATGAGGCACAGAAGGGGCTACTTGGTGGTACAGTGAATAGAGCTGTAGCCTTGGAGTTAGGAAGGGGGAAGTGGGCCCAAGGATTGGCATTTCCTCTTGTGGAAGTGGGGTGTTCATTAATGGATTCTTTGGCACCTAGGCATGTTCCACTTCGATAACCCCTCTGCTGATATTAACATTTGTTGTTTGAAACTTAACATCAAGGAACTGTCATTTTGTCAAGGGGAGAACTTCTTCCACCAATGCAGGCAGACCCCCATGTGATTCAGTAGATGAAGACGTCTTCCCCAGGGGTTGGGCCTGCAAGTTCCTCACTCTCTGACTGACTTCACTATTTGTCCCCACTTAGTGAAGCTGGCCCCAGAATGCCCCTAGGCCTTTCCCAGCTGGTGCTCCCTTGGTGAGCCCAAGAGCACCTCCAGGGTGAAGTGTGATGGGAGACATTACACTTCAAAATAGGAACCAAATTGGAGGTAGTGGACATTTTGCAAGGAAAGGATTGTTGTTGGTGTTTGTTTCTGAACATGGGAAATGTTTACCTAGTAAATGTGCAGTAGTAAATGTCCAAGGCCCAACAACATCTTTGGGCAGATGCAAAGTTGAAGTCAGCAGAAATACTGGTGCCATCCTCAGGGCAGAGAGAGCTTGCTCATCCTGGACCCTTCTTGGTTGCCAGAGCTGTGCCTCTTTGTATGATGAAAACATAAATCTGAAAGGCGGAAGAGCAGCCATTTCACACTTGGGGGGCAGGCTCTGGGTGCTGAGCACTGGAATGTTGTGGGCTGAAGAAGGGAAATGTTGGGGACAGGGCTTGGCTTATCTGTCTTTATGTGGATGAAAATGACACTCCACAGCAGCCCAGGGGAGAGCAGGTTGGGTCTGGAAAAAAAAAAAAATCCTCAGCTGTTCTGCCTGCTTTTTAATCCCACCCAGGGTGAGGCAGTGGTCACTCTGTGAACATTATTTACAGTAAGGTCAGGCTCACTGTGTGCCAGGACTCTGCAGGACCAGGAACACAAGTGAAAATAGCCTTTGCCCCAAAGAACTTGATCTAATTCTGCCCTGATGACAGCTCAGGTTCTGTGGCTGACTGCCAGACTGCCCCCAAGTCTCTGCTCCACTGGTGTCTGTCTAAAATCCCATGATTAGATATTCATTCCTTTGGCTTTCTCCCGTAGTCTCTTCATATACAAACACCCATGATAAGGAAGACATTGAGCCAGTAATACTTCATGGTGAATGGGTTTATAAGATGGCTTTGTACCTGACATCTACCTGAATATAATTTAATTCACTGGTTTATTAAGTGCCCACCAGGTACAAAGTATTCTTACTAGCTGTGGGACTCCTGGACAAGCCACTTCACCTCTGTCTGCCTCAGTTTCCTCATCTGTAAAATGGGGATTAATAATAGCACCTGCCTTCCAGAGTTGTTGTGAAAATCAAATGAGATCATATAAAACACCTGGCAAACCTTAAAGTGCTAGATAAATGATAGCTGCTGCTGCTGCTGTTGTTGTCATCATTATTATTATTCATTCCTGAGGGAATGGGATCTAGGATGGGTAAAGTCAACTAGGAAGAAGATCTGTGAAAAAACACTGGTTGGGGCAGCTAGATGGCTCGGTGGATAGAGCATTGGCCCTGCAATCAGGAGGACCTGAGTTCAAATCCGGCCTCAGACACTTGACACTTACTAACTGTGTGACTCTGAGCAAGTCACTTAACCCTGATTGCCTCACCAAAAAGCAAAAAAAAAACAACAACAAACCAAACCCCCTTCCCCCCACCAAAAAAAAAAGAAGATAGAACACTGGTTCACTATTGGAGGGGAAAGCCTAGGGAAGAGGGTTAACAGTTATGCCTACCTAGACTTAATTCAACCAAGATTGAAGTGACTGCCTTCCATATGCAGTGGGAGGCATGATGGTCAATTCTATGCTAGGAGAGTGCTAAGTGATTCCAAGGTGCCCAGCATGGATCCAGAACAGGGCTTGTGATATGCTTCTGGAATCAAATAAAACATGGCATCTGCCCTCACCAAGCTTACAGTCTCATGGTCCAAGTGCCACAGAGTAATGGAGGAGTCTCAAATAATATACAGGAGTTTGGGGGCAATTGGAGTCAAATGAAGAATGAGAGGGAAGTTGTTCAAACTCTACCCAAGTCAAGGACTCATCTGACAGTGTTGACTGAGTCCACTTACCAGTTTGTCATCTCCTGGAGCTGACTGAGCGGGGGAATCCTTTTTACAGCTCCCTAACTCTCACTCCTCACCCAGGGTGTTACAAATCTGTTCTCACCATAAGCCTGCCCCACCACCATTTCTGAAAACATCCTTGCTCATGTTTACAGAGAGCATAGAGACTGTTTGCCTTGTGTGCCCTATTCTCCCCTATGCCAGATGTCAGCCCCTTTCCATCATCCCCCATTCTCGCCTTCTTTACTGCAGTCAAGTCTGATGAAGAGATCACCTTTCTCACCACAGCTTTGTCTTTGTAGCCCTGATCCCATCCCTTCTTATCTCTCTAGTCATTTCTACCCTCTCTTGTGAATCTTTATTTTTTCCCTATCTGCAGGTTCCCTTCCTGCTACCTACAAACTAGCCCAGGTCTCCCTTTACTTTTGACTTTGCTGTCTGCTCAGGGTATCATCCACTTAGATTTCAGTCACTCAACTTCTCAACCCTGGACCCCTCCTGTCTCTTCACCTTACCCCCTCTTAATGCAGCTTGGGTGAGGTTCAGGATCCCCAGGAACAGTTTGAAAAAGTGGAGTACCATGAAAGGGTCAGCAGTGAGAATGCAGAGCAAGCTGGCCTTAATGGAGGGACATACTCACCATAAGAAGGGGCAGTCAGGGAAAATGGGCTGAGATCACCACGTGAGATAGTACAGAGAGAAGAGAAGAGGGCCCAAGACAGAGCCTTGGGGGGAGTCCTCGGGTTAGAGGATTTGCCCCAGATGAACATCCAGCAAAGGAGACAGAGAAGGAGCGGTCAGTTAGGTGGGAGGAAAACCAGGAGAGAGTAGTATCAGGGAAACTAGAGAGAAGAGAATATCCAGGAGGGGAGAGTGATCTCCAGTGTCCAAGGCTGAAGAGCGGTCAGAGAGACTAAGGATGGAGAAAAGGCCATTGGATTGGGCAACAGTTGGGTGGTACAATTACACATGTTGTCTCCTTCGTTAGAGTAGAATCTATCTGCTGGCAGGGACTGTTTTTTAGTTTTTCTTTGTATCCCAAACTCTTAGCACAATATCTTGCGCTTCATAAATGTTTGTAGATTGGTTGACCATTTCTTTTATATTTACTATGCAGGCACATCTTTGTCTTTTTGCTAGAATGGAAGCTTCTTGAGGTCAAGGACTATTTCCTCTTTTGTCTTTGTCAGCACATAGTAGGCATTTAATAATACATGGTTGGTTTTTTTTGAGGGCATAACCTTCCTTATGGTTATGAGGAGAGCTCCTCGGAATGGTTTTCTGTTCATTGTAGATATTTGAATAGTCCAGTTTGCTCAGTGGGTTCCAGAATGATGCTATGATAACCGAACACATGGCTTAGTGGGATGTCTACAGAGAACTCTTCCACATGCAGACTCTCCTCCAGCCAGCTGGCTACAAAGGGCACACTTTTAGTCATTGAGGGGTCAATGAGACAAAAGTGGGAGGAATTCATCATTTCAGAACAGACGCGGCCGGAAGAGCACTTGGTCTGCTTTGGGCCAGCATAGCAGCTATAGCAGGAGTACAGAATTTCTAGTGTCCACCCTTCCTACAGCTCCCACCGGAGGACGTAGGTGGCACGTAATTGCCAGCCATTCCCCCCTGACTTGACATAATATCGTGTTAGTTCCAGCTCTGTACTCTAGGTGTCTCCCTGACCAAACCCAGTCTCAGTTTTTCTCATTCTCAAACCAAACTGAGAAAGTAGGTGAGTGAGAGATACTGCTTTATTAAATGTTTATTTTGTAGCTCTTGGAGAAAAAAAAAATCACATTCTAGAATCATTAAACCTTTAGTAGTGCAAGTAAATGTAATTAAAGCCTTATCTCAGTCATCCAGTCAGTCAGTAAACATTTATTAGGTGCCTACTATGTGCCAAGTACTAGGTGCTAGGGATTCCAAGAAAAGCAAAAGCCGGCCCCTGCCCTCGAGGGTCTCCCAGTCTGTCTGACGGGGGAGACGATATGCAAACAAGTCTGTCCAAATAAGATCCATGTAGGCTAAATTGGAGATCAGCAGCAGCAGAGGGAGGGCACTGGCTGGAAAGGCAATGGTTCTTTTTGGGAGATCCTATGGTGAAAGAGAGAGTGAGCAAGGCCTGGGTTTGAGTCCTCCACTAATACATATTGGCTTGTGTGACCCTGGATGAACCACACCATCTCTCAGTGCCCCCAGGCAGCTCTTTAAGACTAGAAGTTTTCTTGGGGGGGGGGTTCCCTACACCAATGAAGTCATAGTTCTGAACCAGAAAAGAAAAATCACTCACATTAGGTGACTGCTTCCTTTATGGAAGGCCTCATTAATAGGTTCTGTTCAGTTGTTCAGTCGTGTCTGACTCTTCATGACCCCATTTGGGATTTTCTTGGCAGAGATACTGGAGTGATTTGCCATTTCCTTCTCCAGCTCATTTTTACAGATAAGGAAACTGAGGCAAACAGGGTGAAGTGACTTGCCCAGGGTCACCCAGCTAGTAAGTGTCTGAGGCCAAATTTGAACTCAAGTCTTCTTGACTCCAGACCTGGAGTATGATACATAGAGAATCCCAAAGTGCTCTGCTGCTAACCTGAACTCTGCTTTCCTTCAGCCTTACTCACCTGGATGCAGTAACTAAGATCCACAATGGTTCAGGTAAGGTACTTGGGTGGGAAGCAAGAGGCTGGGCCTGGGGATTTAGGCTTCTTCTGTCTCTTGACAGAAAGATCACTTTTGAGGTAGACGGCCTGGCCCCAAGAATGGATTCCTCAGCTACTGCTTACTCACATGCTTCCAAAATCCTGCCTCCAAATTGAAGGCTACCTTTGGACAAGGCCAGGCTAGTCCTCCAGTCTGAGTTGGACTGGTGACCTCAGAGGGCCCCCACAGCTCAGGGCTTACAATCCTATGACCACACGTTTTAGGTTGCAGAGATATTGCTTGTAGGGAATGTCAAGCGAATCAAGCGTGCAGAGCTTTTGAACTCAACCTTTCAAATCAAATCTTTGAAAAATCAAATTTGAAAAATGAGGCTGTTATGAGAGTAACAATCATTATTTTTAGAAAACCCCATAAAGACAAAAATGAAAGTTCCAGTGGGGAAGAGGGTAGGTGTGGCCTGTACACAGAGAAGGACACATGAGGTAATCCCAGGAAAGGGAGCGCTGCAAGGTGGGGGGTGGGGGTGGTAGGGCAAGTGTGCTCTTAAAATGGGGAGTACCATGTGCATGGAGGCTGGAAATGGAGAGTTGAGGGCAGGGGACAGCCTACAATACAGTGTGTTAAGGTGAGGAATAATAGGAGATGGAAGGCTTTGGTAGGGCCTCGAACATCAGACAGAGGTGGTTTTCTCTTCTAGAGGCAGTGGGAGCCACTTCAGATTTGTGAGCAGGGCAGTGACATGGTTAGACCTGTGCCTTAAGAAAATGCTGTAGAAGCTGCAGAGAGGGTGTGTTGGGAATAGGAGAGACTGGAGTCAGGGAGACAGATTAGAAAGTGACTTTGAGGGGCAGCTAGGTGGCGCAGTGGATAGAGCGCCGGTCCTGAAGTCAGGAGGACCTGAGTTCAAATGCGGCCTCAGACCAAACACTTAACACTCACTAGCTGTGTGACCCTGGGCAAGTCACTTAACCCCAATTGCCTAAAGAAAATAATAAAAAAAAAAATTTAAAAAAAAAAGTGACTTTGGAACCAGGTGAAAAGGGGTGAACATGTGTCTGTGGAGAGCAGGGGACAAACTTGGCAACAAGGGCCCCATGCTATTTCTTAAATGATTGTGGAGTAATTATTAGTATCTGTTTCTCTCTCCTTCTCTCCTTTCCTCTCTCCCTCCTCTTTCCCCTCCCCTCTCCTTTCTGTCTCTGTCTTACCCTCTATTCCTTTCTCCCCCTCAGTCCTTCTTTCCCTTTCCTCCTTTCTGTGTCCCTCCTCTCTATCTCTGTCTCTCCATCCATTCTTCACCCTTCTCTCTCCCTCTTGCTTTGTCTCTCTCCTCTTTTCCTCTATGTCTCTGTCTCTCTCCTGTCTTCCCCCTCTCTCTGTGTCTCTGTCCCCTCTCTGTCTGTCTCTCTCCCCCTTTTCTCCCCTCTCTGTCTCTCTCCCCCTCTCTGTGTCTCTGTTTCTCCCCCTCTGTGTTTCTGTCTCCTCCCCTCTCTGTGTCTCTGTCTCTCTCCTCCATTTGTGTCTCTTTCTTCCCTTTCTCTCCCCTTTCTGTCTCCTCCCTCTCTGTCTCTCCCTTCTCTGTGTCTCTATCTCTCCCCCCTATTTTTGTCTCCCCGCCTCTGTGTCTGTCTCTCTCTCCCCCTCTGTGTCTCTTTCCCCCTTCTCTCCCCTCTCTGTCTCTCCTCCCTCTCTGACTCGCCTCTCACCAGGGCCTGTATAGGGAGCTTACTAGGGGCCTCATGGGATAAAACACCAATTGAAAAATCATGGTCTTGGGGCAGCTAGGTGGCAATGGATAGAGCACCGGCCCTGGAGTTAGAAGGACCTGAGTTCAAATGCAGCCTCAGACACTTGGCACTTATTAGCTGTGTGACCCTGGACAAGTCACTTAACCCCAATTGCCTCACTAAAAAAAAAAAGGAAAAATCATGGTCTTAGATTTGTATTGTGTGTATATGGGTTGGGGGGAGTTGGGTTTGGGTGGGTGGGGGTGTATGTGTATGGGTGTGGGGGATGGTAAGGGGTTGGGATGTGTAGGGTGTGTGTGGGTATGGGGGTCTGTGTGTATATGGGGGTATGTGGTGTGGTGGAATGTATGGGGATGTGTTTGGGGGTGGTGTGGGAGTGAGATGGGGATGTGGGGGTGGAGTATGGGTATAGGGGGTAATTGGTTCGGATGTGGGATATAAGGGGGCTGTGCTGTGTGGTAGGTTTGTGTGTGTGAGGTGTTTATGGAGCATGGGGGGTATTTAGGCGGGGTTGGGTGTGGGGATATATGTATGGGAGGATGTGTGTGGGGTGTGTGGTCACTCATCACAGAAAATGCCCCAGCACAATTTGCTGCCTGCCACCTGGTCCCTGTAGAACAGGCTTGCACAACCCACTTGCGGCCTTTGGTGTGCTGCAAGTGGCCCATGGGCCGCAGGTTATGCAGGCCTGTTGTGGAAGCGAGGAAGGCAGGATGTTGCTCTCTTCTGGGGTAGCTTCTGATGCCTTAAGGATCCCAGCTTTCAAACTGGCCGACAGTGCAGAGGCCATGTCCTTCTTCACCCTCATTTTACAAAGGAAGACACTGAGGCCCAGGGAAGTAAAGGGACATGCCCAGCGTCACACAGAGAGTAAAGAGCAGAGCCTTAATTTGAACCCAGTTTTCTTGATCCCAGGACCAGGATGCTTTCTCCTCATACCACCTGTCGACCATAGAAACTGATCTGATTCCTTCTTGCCCTCCCCCGATAGCCTCCTAATTAACAGCAGGTCTTGACAAAAGTTGGGGAGATGTGACAAAATTGAAAAGAGTTAGTGACAGTTAAAGAATCATAGCTTGTCAAGCTGGAAATGAGAGAGTATATTAATTCAGCTCCCTCGTTTCACATAAGAGGAAGTAGAGGTCCCATGTCCAGAACCCTCATGCTCATTACTCTAACTGCCTGAACATGCCAGATCTGTCCCCCTCCTCCATTCCATCAAAACACTTATTTCTTAGGTTGCTGCCTTAGAACAGTCTGCTTATACCGACCCTAGAGTGCAAATGAAGTTACTTGCCCCCTAAAACATTCCTGGGGATAGTTGCATTTTAAAAGAATTGCTTTTTAATCAAGTGAATCTTGTTAAAAAAAAAAATCCTAGTCCGACTACAGGAGATAAAATGGATAATTTTGACTAAGTGAAATGTAAAAGTTTCTATACAAACTTGAGGTAGGTAAAAAACCTGAGTTCTAATCTGGACACTTAGGAACTCTGTGACCCCAGGCAAGTCTATTAACCTTTGTCTGCCTCAAATTTTCTCTTCTGCAGAACTGGGTTGAGGATTAAATTAAAAATTTTTTTTACAAATTAAAAGTTTTAAGATACCTTGCCCTCTTTGTCAGGAGGTAGATAGCTTGTTTCATCAAGAGTCCTTTGAGGGGCAGCTAGGTGGCGCAGTGGATAGAGCACCAGCCCTGGAGTCAGGAGGACCTGAATTCAAATGCGGCCTCAGACATATAATACTTCCTATATGTGTGACTCTGGGCAAGTCACTTAACCCTGATTGCCTCACTTAAAAAAAAAAAAGTCCTTTGGAATCCTGTTGGGTCATTATTTTGCTAAGAGCTAAATCTTTCATTGTGGACAATTTTGCTCTTGTTGGACACATTGTTCTTCTAGTTGTATTCGCTTCACTATGCCTCAGTTTCCTAATCACTAGACTATTCTATCACATTTCTATTATATCATTCATTTAGCCATTCATCAATGAAGAGAGCTGCCATAAAGGGATTTGTACATATGTGGCTTTTCCTGCCATCCTTGCTGTCTTTGGGCTATAGGCCTAATAGTGGTATTACCGAGTCAAAGGCTATGGTCGGTTTAGTGACTTTGGGCCATGGTTCCAAGTTGCTGTCTAGAATGCTGGACCAGTACAGGTATAATCTCTACAAATGGAGAGACCCCCCTCCCCACACACACAAGCCCCGCTACATATACCAATGCACCCTTCAGAGATCCTCTCCCACCTCTCCACACACACACACATACACACCCTTCCTACACCCATACCCCCCCATAGATCCTCTCACACTTTTCCACACACATCTCTCCTACACCCATAACCCCCTCCCCCATAGGCACACACCCCACACTGATGTGATCCAGCATCCATTGAAGTAACAAAATGTAAGATAAATCAGTTGGTGTTGGGATGAATATGTTTTTGGCCAAAAAATTTTCCCAGTTCTGTATATTAAAGCAGACGCTGGGAGTGGGTTGGGAAAAGAACAGTGCATACTAGCCAAAGCCCTCCTTGGCTGATGGGAACTAGGCCTGCTTTGCCCCTTGAGTCCTTAGAGTTCATACACAGTGAAAGGGACAGTTTCCCTTACTGAACTGGAGTGTTTTCTCTGCTCTGGTTGCACAAGCCCAGGGCTAACACCTTGGAACAGGGGAGGGCGGGTACTGGGCAGTGGATGCTGCTTGCCAAAGAGCCCTAGAGGTCAGGCTTCCTGAGGATGCCTAGATTTTGAATGCTGGGGGCTCAAGAGGAGCCTCCAAGAAATTTTTTTTCCCCTTTATTCTCCCCTACTCCCTTGGCTCATTGATAGCACTTTTACTCTTGGCGGGCTTAGCCCCATCTTGTCCCCCCAAAAATGAGATGAAATTTGAATAGGGTCTGCTTTTCTTTGGTAGTGATCTGTCTTCTCTTTTTCCTCTTGAAGTGTTTACCAAGAACCTGTGCAATCAGATGTCAGCCATCAGCGGCCCCCTTATGCAGTGGCTGGAGGACAGACGGGAGTATAACCGCAAGCTGCTTCTGGAATTAGAGCAGGAGAAGGCAGCCCTGCTGGAGGAGCTTGCTAGCCTGGACTAAGGCATCTGTCATATTCTCAATAAAAAGTGCATCTGCTACATGACAAAAGTATAAGGAGAGGTTGCCTGGGGTCCCTGACCTAAGCCCCATTGGGGTAGACTGGGTATGGCTGTGTCCCCTTCTTATCTGGCCCATAGACTGGGTATGGCTGTGCCCTCTTCTTATCTGGCCCATAGATTGGGTATGGCTGTGCCCCCTTCTTATCTGGCCCTAACCTCTGTAGCTCAGTCACTCATTTATTCATCACTGATGGGAAATCGACTTGTAGGGTGTGAGCAAAGGAACAACACCCAGAGAATGAGAGTCATGTAGAATCTCGGAGCTTCTAGGGATCCCACAGGCCATCTAGCCTAAGTCCTACCTAAATGAGAATAGAAGGATTCTTTTTTACAACTGGAAACAGTCATGGCAGCAAGCTGTGAGAAAGAAATGCTTAGAGCATTGGTTTTTAGTGTGTGCTGTCAGCTTGGTGTCTTTTGACTTGAGAAGTAGTGTTTCCATATTTCATGATCCCTGAAATCCCCACTTTTCTGACCTAGGGGTCACCTTGTGTCCATGCCAGCCTTTGTTTAATGTAACAGATGAGTTCTAACAACGTTGGGCCATATTAAGCAAATCCTGTGTTCCAATTCAGGGTGGCTAGGTGGTGAAGTGGATAGAATGCAGTGCTGGCCCTACAGTCCTGAACACTCATGTTCCTGAGTTCAAATATGGCTTCAGACAGTTAATAGCTGTGTGATCTAATAGCTGTGTGACCCTGGGCAAGTCACTTACCCCTGTTTGCTTTAGTTTCCCCATCTGTAAAATGAAGGTAATAATAGCATCTACCTCCCAGAGTTGTTGTGAGGATCAGATGAGATAGTAATTGTAAGGTGTTTAGCACACTACCTGACACCTAGTATCACTATATAAATGTTAGCTGTCATCATTATTATTATTATCTAAGCCAATCTCCTGATTTCACTGAGTTCTGACTCCAAATACAGGGCTTCTCCTACACCACCAGCCTCTAGTAATGGCCGGGGTAGAACCTCGCATGTCCTCGTCTGACTCAGCTGGTCCCACTAAGAGTGGTCCTGTATGGACATAGATTTGGGATGTGGCAGCCTAGAGGGCTTACTTGAAGTCCTAGGTGAGTGATATTAATAGGGATCCAAGGCTACATACCTAAGGATAAGAAGGAAGGACATCTGAGTTGTAATCCCCAACTCCACAAATGTTTAGAAAACAGCCTAGACTTAACCCCAATTGCCAAAAAAAAGGGGGGGGGCAGCTAGGTGGTACAGTGAATAGAGCACTGACCCTGAAGTCAGGAGGACCTGAGTTCAAATTCGGCCTCAGACCAAACACTTGACACTTACTAGCTGTGTGACCCTGGGCAAGTCACTGAACCCCAATTGCCTAAGAAAGAAAGAAAGAAAAGAAAGACTAGAAAAACAAGTCCTGCTCAGGAAATCCAAGGAAAAGAATTATAGTTGTGTTACCAGCCTAGAGCATCACAGGGAGACAGAAGTTTGTTGACACTGGGGTTGGGGTCTAGTCAGGAAGGCCTCATGGACTGTTTCAGTGCTGGGATTGAAAGGGGGCCGAGACTCTGTGCCAGGGTATGAAGATCTCCCTGATCTGGTACAGGGGAAAAGGAGTATTTTACACTCTGACAGCAGCTGACAGCTCTTGCTCACTATCCAGTTTGGGGTCCAGTTTTGAGATCCAGGATCAATTGAGGAGGGGACTTGTGCCCAGGGATGGGATTCAAGGACAAGGAGTGGTCCTAAGACCTACCATATATTGAGGGACTGGGTTTGTGTGTGTGTGGGGGGGGTAGTGTCAGTCCTAGTCCCAGCCCAGTCTTCAGCCTGCAGCAGAATAATCAGGGCAAGAAACCCAGACCAATGGGGAATGTGTGGTTCCGTGCCTCTGAACCAGCAGAGCTTTCTGGCTGATGGTAACTGCCACCGGCAGCCATCTATTAGACTTCCAAGCAGGAGCAAAACCCCAGCTGTGCTTTTCATATCCAAACCCAGATCAGGAACTTAAGAGTTTATCCCTGAATCAGACCACTTTGGGGGCACTGAAAACTTGTAAGTGCCCAGCCTGAGCTGTCCCTGAAGTAACAGAACAGTTAGTACCCCCAAGAGAACACAGCTCAACCCTAACGTGAAGAGGGAGATCAGGAAGTAGGATGCAGATTAAATGAACAAACACACAAAAGTCTCCACTGCGCCATCTAGTGGCCTGTGATTTAATTTAAGAGAAAAGAAAGGAGAGAGAGCGTGATTGGGCTCTGGGTTGAAATAAAGAGAAGAGGGGAAGGGCAAGGGGAGTAGGTGCCTAGGACACCAATATTGGTCACAGTCCCCCCCCCCCCTTTTTAAAGGCAATTGGGGTTAAGTGACTTGCCCAGGGTCACACAGCTAGTAAGTGTCAAGTGTTTGGTCCGAGGTTGGATTTGAACTCAGGTCCTCCTGTCTTCAGGGCCAGTGCTCCATCCACTGCTCCATCCAGCTGCCCCAAGCCTCTTCTTTATAAAGGGAAATAAAGAGAAGGAAAAGTATAAGAGAATAGGATAGAGGGAAATACACAATTCATGGTCCTAACTGTGAAAGTCTGTGGGATGAACTCATGGAAAAGGATAGGGTTAGAAAGCAGAATCCAACATGTTTATTATTAACATTTGTAGGGTAAAGATTCTTGCAGAGTTAAAATAAGGGGCAGCTGAAACAAACCCTGAAGAGGTCTGATGAATTCATTGACCAACCTGATTGTCAAGGTCCTATAATGAAGGCACTGCCTACCTCTGACCAATGTCAAATGCTTCAGAAAGGGCAAGAAGGTGTAGGGGAGGCCTGGCAACAAAAAAAACCACTGGGCCTGAGGATGTTTGGTGACCTTGGAGAAAGCAGTTTTAGCAAAATGTTGGGGATTAAGACCAAATGACAAAGGATTAGGCAGTTAGTGACTTGTGAGGCAGTAGAGACAGTAGTGTCAACTCCTTTTTAGAAGTTTGGAAGTGGGCAGCTAGGTGGCGCAGTGGATAGAGCGTCGATCCTGAAGCCTGGAGTCAGGAGGAACTGAGTTCAAATGAGGCCTGAGATACTTAATAACTAGCTGTGTGACCCTGGGCAAGTTACTTAACCCCATTGCCTAGCCCCCCCCCCCAAAAAAAAGTCTGGAAGTGAAAAGAGGTAGAGGGCAATAGCTTGAAGGAGCAGCAGGATCTTCAAAGGATCACCCAAATGTTTGAAGCCAGAGGGGAGGTGGTTAATGGAGAAGATTGGGGAGGGAATCAAGAACATGGGGAGCAGTGGCAAGAAGGAGGGCCACCACCCAGCGAAAATGAGCATGATCTTTCAGGGGAGGAGATGGATATTCAACGAAATAGGGGACTTCCCTACCTTTGTGATAAAAAGACCAGAGCTCAACAAAAAGTTTGATCTTCAAATACAAGACACAAGAGACACATAAAAAGGTAAATGGGACAGAAAGTAACATGTTATTAATAAGGGCAAACTCTTTACATCCCTACAAGGGAAGATGACACTTGAGAACTGTATTGTTATTACACCATGTTAAAGGGGTATACATAAAGGGGGTGGGTATAAATTGACTTTGATGTAATGATGAAAAAAATCTAATCAAGTGGGTTAAATGGATCCAAGTGAATGAATTAATCTGATCTAACTAATAAATGTACTAATAAATGTACTAACTAATAAAATGTGCTTTCCTTTAAAAAAGGAAAGGAAGAGTCAGACAAGGGTAAATTACATCACAGGAAAAGGCACAAAAACCTATTACAGCTGAGGGAAAGAAGGGAGGGAGATGAGCATTGTTTGAACTTTACTCTCATCAGATTTGGCTTAAGAAGGGAATAACAATCAGGTATAGAAATCTAACAGGCCGTATAGGCAGTAGGAGGGAAAAGGGGAAAAAAAGGGGAGGGGGCTAATAGAAGGAAGGTGGGACTGAGGGAGGCAGTGGTCAAAAGCAAACATTAGTGAGGAGGGAAAAGGAGAAAGAAAAGCATAAGGGGGGGAAGGATGAAGAGAAAGACATAGATAGTAATCATAATTGTGAATGTGATATATGAATGTAATGGAATGCTATTGTGCTATAAGAAATGATGAACAGATGAGAGTTCAGATAAACCTGGAAAGACTTGTATGGTTTGATGCTGAGTGAAGTGAGCAGAACCAGGAGAACGTTGTACACAGTAACAGCCACATTTGAGTGATGACTGACTTTGATAGACTTAACCCCTCTCAGCAATACAAGGATCTAAGACATCTCCAAAAGTCTCATGATGGAAAATGCTATCCACATCCAAAGAAAGAACTATGGAATTTGAATGCAGATCAAAGCATACTATTTTTCTTCTGTTGTGTTTTGTTTCCTCTTTCTGGTGGTTCCTCCTATTAGTTCTAATTCTTACTTACAACATCACTAATGTGAAAATATGTTTAATAAGAATGTATGTATAGCCTATATTAGATTGCACACCATCTTAGGGAGGGAGGGGGAGAAAAATTTTAAAACTTGAAAGCTTATGGAAGTGATTGTTGATAAATCAAAATAAATTAACAAAAAAAAAAGAGTTGGACACACACAAAAAGGAGGGCCACCTCTTCTGAGAATGAACAGAAGAAAAAAGAATGGAAACCGTGCTGGGGAGAGGAGACCCTTTGGGAATTTGCTGGAATTGGATTACACAGTAAGTGGTGAGCAGGAGTCTGCTTCTCCCCTTGACATGGATTCCAGGCAGGGAATATTCCTAAATTCAGGAAGCTAGAGATGTGCCTGAGGATGTATCTTGTCTACCTTGGGATCACTGTCAAAGCTAAAATGTTTTCGGGGTTCATAGATACCTCAGAAGCCATTTTGTCCAATCCAGACTTGGGGGGGGGGGGATCCCTGTTCTATAACAGACTTGATAAGTGGTCACATTCATCTGGTCTCTGATCTCAAGGTCAAACCTACTCCTAAGTAACTACCTGCCAAAGAAGCCTGTTCTGGTTTGGGGCAGCTCTAATTGTTAGGAAGCTCACTGGGTAGTAATTGAGCCTCACTTTACTAATCAGTAAGATGGGAATTTTGATGCCCATACATGCAGAGTGGCTGTGAGACTCAGATAGTAAGAAGAGCTAATGTTTAGGAAGAACTTTGGGTTTGCAAAGTGCTTCACATGTTTCACAACCTTTTGAGAGGTATTATCCCTATTTTACAGATGAGGAAACTGAAGCTGAGAGTTTTAGTGACTTGCCCAGGGTCTTGAGGCCAATTAGTGTCTGAAGCTGGATTTGAATTGGGGGCTTCCTGATTCCAGCTAAGTCCAGCTCTGGACTTAGTTGCCCTAAAAGCACCATGTTAAATATCAGCTGTTAGTGCTCTAGCTCTGAGGTTCTCAAACTGTCCGGAACCCTGACACACCCCGAGGTTTTTTTGCCTTGAACTTAGGTTGCTCTTTAAAAGAGAATTCATACGCAAGGGTTCTGTCAAAGTTGTTTAAAGAGTTTGAGCATTGTGGAGAGGCCTGAGCCCGAGGTCTTTGGCCAAAGGCTTCTTCACGAGGTTAGTGAGCAAAGCCTCCGAAGCGCTTGAGTTAGGTCTCCCCGATTTGGTAAATTCGGGGGACTGGACTCTTTCGTAGCATGAGAGTTCCCAAATCTCTGGGACGAAGGTCAGAAGTTGCCAGGATGCCCCATTTGTAAGGCCCAGGCATTATTTTAGTGGCTTTTGCAGATGGACAGAGCGTCCATCCCAGTGCAGTGAGCCACTGAAAGCACTTGCTGACTCAACGAGTCCTGCTCAGCGAAATTCCAGGTAACCGCTCAGCTAGGGCGAGGGGCGGTTCGGGGCTCTTACTTTAGCCTCGGAGGAAGGGGCGGAAGGGCGGGGGAGCAGTCTATTGAAGACCCGCCCCTCCTCCAGTCAGCTCGGGAGATAGCCGGAGATCGCTCCTCGGGGGCAGGATTTGTGGAAAGTGGGGAGCGAGGGGAAGATTGCTGTAAAGGGTATACGTCTAGCAATAGGCTTGGGGGGGGGGGGGGGAGACGGCTTCACTCCGATCTATTTCTACTTGAACGCAATCGTCAGAGCCCATGAAATCTGGTCCATTTTCCTCAATAAGTTTTGTTCCAAACGGGCGAGGAAGGGGGTGGGGCCGTCTGGTAAACAGGGATTCCTGTGGGGCTTTCCCATCCTAGGATCAGGCCAGGCATGATCGGACCTAGGTGATTCCGAGGAAGGGGAGGGGGGACAGCGGCTCTCCTGGACCTTGATCATTCCGTATCCGCCACGGATGTGCCTTCTTAATTGGACAGTTACTTCTCAAGAAGACAGTCTCCAGCTCTGGGGACTAGATAAAAAGGACCAACCCCTTTAGGGGCTGCAAACACGTGTCCTTCTCTCCCCTGCCCCCAACCCTTGTCACACCTCGCTTTCACCTCCCCGGCCGTCTGCACTGCCGGTTCCAGAGAGTGTTCACAAAGCGACCCGGGGCCAGCTCGTGGGAACCCACTCGTCGCAGTTCGGGCCCCAAAGGGGGTGAGCTAGGGGGTGCCAAAGTGGGTAGGACACTGGGCCTGGAGTCGGAAAGGCCGAGGTTCAAAGCCAGCGTCAGACACTTATTTCCTAGCTGTGGGACCCTGGGCAACCCACTTCACCTCCACCTGCCTCCGTTTCCTCATCTGTGAAATGGGGTTAATGACATCTTTTGGGAGGGAGCTCCCAGGGTTGGTGTGAGGATCCAACAGGATAGTATGTTTGGCATCTTTTGTTTTCTGAATTTATCTTAGGTCCCCCTTTCCCAGGAGCCATCCCTCGAAGCAATGAAAAAGGAAAAGCCAGGAAAGCATTTCGGCAAAAGTAACCCACGAGTGTCTGGCAGGAACGGCACTATTTCACCCCCGTTGCCCCCCTCCCCAAACCCCCCACAGGCGGAAAGACTGCGGGTGGCCATCTGGGAGCTCGCCAGCGGCTTGTTCATTTCAGCGTAAGCATTTCCACCTCGGAAATCGGCAAACGCTTCGGGATTGACCGGGCCGGACCTACTGGGCTCGCGGAGAATCCGGCTGGAACAAAGTGTTCCTATAAGCAGCCTCCACTTCGAACTGGGCCTGACCCACGCGCCGCGCCCCACCCCTCGATTGTTAACCCTTTGTCGGCAGCAGCCCACCCCCCTCCCCCCAGCGGCTCCGGCCGCCGTTGGGGGTCGTCAAGGCGCGCCCGGGTTCCTGGGGCCGCTCGAGGCCCTCGACCAACCAGCGGCCGCGCCTCGACGGCCCCCAACGGCGGCCCCTGGCGTTCTAGGACGCGCAGCCAGCGGCTCGGCGGAGGCGGTGGTCGCCATCTTAGGGAGGTGGGCGCGCTCCGACCGGCCGACCAACCAAGCGATCGATCGGCCTCCAGGAGGCTCCTCGCTGCGAGGCCGCCCGGCAGACTGTCAGTCTGTCTGTCAGTCCGCCCGACCGTCCGGCGACAGCCGCCGGGGCGGGTGGCGGGAGGGAGAGGTGGGGGCGGGGCCCGCCGGCGGCGGCGGCGGTGGTGGCAGCGGCGGCGTCCCGGCCCCGCCCCCGGCCTTGGTCCCGGCTCCGCCTCCGGCCACGCCTCTAACCCCGGCCCCAGCCCGCCGCCCAGCGGGGGACACCCCCGGCGGGCGCCGGGCAGCTAGGCACCATGTCGGGCCAGTCTCTCACCGACCGGATTACGGCCGCGCAGCACAGCGTCACCGGGTCGGCCGTGGCCAAAGCCGTCTGCAAGGCGAGCACCCACGAAATGATGGGGCCCAAGCAGAAACACCTGGACTGTGAGTAGGGTTCCCTTCCCCCCCCCCCCCCGCGCCCCCCGCCCCCCCCCCGCCCCCCCCGCCGCCGCCCCCCTCCCCCTCCGCTGCGAACTCCCGCCGCGACCCTCCTGCAGACGCCGGCCCAACGTGCTAGGACGAGCGCCTGCTCCCTCTGGCTCGGCCTCGTCTGTGCCACCAGCACCGTAGGGGCAGCCGATCGGCAAGCTTGGGACGGGGTGCCCCGTTCGCAGGCAGAGCTGGGTAGACCAAACGAAACCAAACCAAACCAGTATGCTACTTGTTTGAATGTTTGGTGGGATGAGCTGGACCCAGCACCACCTGGGCTGCTGGCGCCCGTGGACCAGAGGATCGGAGATCCGAGCTGGACCCCCACCCCACTCATTTGACTGGGGAGGATACCGAGGCCCAGAGAAGGGCAGGAACTTGCCCAGATGGACGGAGAGCCAGGATTTTAACCTAGCTTAATGCTGGCTCCAGGTCTAGGATTCCTCTCGCTATTCATTGAATCTTGCTAGCTTGGCCCCAGGTGACCTTGGCCAAGTCCCTTCTGCTCCAGGCTTCAGAGTTCTCTGTAGCATGAATGGTGCCCCAAGGCCCCTCCCAGCTCCAGATTCCATGCCATGAATCCTTAGGAAGGTCTTGGGAATGGGTGGCAGAGAATCCCAGAGACTGTTTTTTTAACCTTCAAATTAGTGTTTTCCCCCGTGGTCATAGACTAATCTTAACTAGTAGGTATTGGCTATTAAGGGAGGAACCCCAGGGTGGAAGGTACCTTAGAGGTCATGGAGTCCAGCTCCAAATCCCACACTTACCTAGTGTGGGAGGAAGGCTTGAAACCCAAATCTTCTGGGGACTCTCTCCCCTGGGCCATGCTGCCTTTTAATGAGATTGCTAAGTAGAGAATATGAGAGCCAATGAAATCCACCAGAGTTTGGTTTCATGAAATTGACCTGGAAAGCTCTTTCCACCCCTGCCCTGCCCCCAGCCCCCAGCCCCCAGCCCCCAGCCGGATTGTCCCACTGAGAAGTATGGCTTGAGGGAGAAAGTTGAGCTCCCAGAGCCCAGACTGCCTTCCCAGACCAGATCGAATTCATCATCCAGCTCTGGAGGGAAGAAGCAGGTAGGGCATAACTCAGAACTGTCGAATGCTTTAGGGTTTGAGCTAAAGATTGCACTCAGTAACACGTTGCTCCCTGCATAATTCCAAGATCTTCCCAGACTTTCTTTATCCGAATAGCCCCTCCTTCCACCAGCACATGGCACTACCAGTGTCCTTTAGCTGCTAGGCTTGGGAATGGCTGTGGGCTGTATGGGGGGGAGGGGGGGGCAGGGCTCCAATGGAAACCTCCAGGCCCTGTACTTGAAGCCAAACTAAGTGCTCTCTGTGCCTCTGAAAGACTGCCCCAGGCCACCCCTACTCTTCTTAGGAACTCTGGGCATCAGGAGAATGGTGTTAGCTCTATGCCAGAAGATGTAGCCATGACCCTTTGCATCCATGGCCCAGTGACTGAAGGCCACCTGGGTCAGGATCCCCCTCCCCCCAGTGGGGGAGAGGGAGGCTAGATTTGATTTCTCCTAATGGGTTTGCTCAGTCTACCCTTACTCTTTGAAGTCACAGTCCCTTAGTTCTCCCTGACAGTTGAGGATAGCTCCCTCAGGGCTTAGAGGTTTTTAGGCCCCAGCCTGGGTTGAAAAAGCCTAGTGTAATGACTACCCTCTTCCTGGGGTCTTTCTTGACCAATCAGTCCTTTCAAAGTTTCTTTGAGCCTCTCAGGTGGTATGTGGCACATTCTTCTCCCTGCCCATTTGGAAAGCCTATCTCTCGGTCAATGTTTCCTTGTGGCTGTAGGACACTTGCAGTTTCTGGGCCTGTTGCAGGGGTAAGCTGTGGTACTGGGCCATGGTCAGGCACTGAGAGATTTGAACTCAAAGTGGTATTCCGTACCAGGTACATGTGAAGTTTTCCTTTTTGACTTACAGCTTTTCTTTTGTCCAGATCCCACTGGTGGGCCCACAGTCTTCTGCCCTTGCATCCTCCAGAAGGGGACCCATTTGTCCTCACTATCCCCAGAATTCCTTTCATCCACTCCCACAGCCAGCTCCCTAGTTCAAACCCAGGTTCTCCTAGTGAGACTTGGCATTAGTGTCCTAACTGGTTCCCACTCTGAGTTGCCTGGCCTCTCCAGATTCTTCTTCAAATGCCGTGTGGAACAGATTGTGTCCTGTCATTTTAGCAGCATGAGTGAAGCCCTACAGGTCTCTTCTCAGGGAGCAAGCATGGCCAAGTGGCCCGGCCTTCCAGGTCTTTTCTGAATTGTTTCTTCTGAGAACAAAACTTAGAATTGCTGGGAATATGACGGGTCAGTGGGTCAATGGGTGGGTTGAGAGTTCAGTGAAGCTCAGAGTCAGATAGTCCTGTTTGAGGCAGGGGCAGGAACTCTTCAGGGATGAAATCGAGCCATCACCTGTGCCAGCCTGGATCTCTAAGAAGTGGCTCAGTGGACACTTGCCATAAAGCAGTAGGGTTTGGCTAAGACAGTCACATTGAGCCATGAACTCAGGCTTGATCGATCATGTTACTTCTTTCTAATTTAGACCTGATTCATTGCACAAACGAGCTGAACATGAGCATACCACAGCTGGCTGACACACTTCTGGAGCGCACAGCCAACAGCAGCTGGGTGGTTGTTTTCAAGGCTCTGATCACCACCCACCACCTCATGATGTATGGCAATGAGGTAAGGTGCAGATTATGCTTCTTCCTCCTCCCCTTTGACTTTTGGGGTATCTCTGGTGTCTGGAAAGCACTAGCTCCCCAGAGTCTGGGAGTCTGCTTCTGTGGCTGTCTTAGAAGGGACTCTCAGTGAGTAGTAGGAGTACAGGCTGTCCTGGGGTTCTTTTGTCAGCTTGTACATCATGATGGTTACTTGCTGAGGCCTGCAGCTTGGGTCCCACTGACCACTGAGGTCGGGGGGTGGAGAAGGGGGCCAGACTGGTGCTTTCCTCACTTTCCAGAAATCCAGTAGAGGAAACTTCTTCTCCCAATGCAGATCAGGCTGAGCTCTGACTCTTGGGTCTGAGAGACTTGCCTGGGGGTCCCGAGAGGTTAAAAGATTTACTCAGCTGTAACTTGCCATGCACCTCTGGTGGAGGGAGCCACTCTCCCTACCTTAGGCTGTCCATAGTGCAGACTGGAATTTGCTTTCTATTCCTACTTCCTCTCTTTCTTCCTCCTGACTCAGATTTGGCTCTTTTCACTGGATAGTTGAAGCTCCTTCTCTTCCTCTTATGGTTTTCCATCTGACATGACCAGACTCTTTTCCTCTCCCAAAGCTTATGGGAACAGAATAAGTGGGTGGGCAGGCTAACGAACAGCCTAGAGGGAGAGTTGGTGCATCCCCAAAGGCCCAGTGTCCAAGGGAAAGTTGAACATATAAGGCCAGAGATCTTTAGGTGGTACTCTCTGGTTCTACCCTGGCACTGTTTTTTTTACACTAGATTGAAGGCAATGGGGAACCTGAATTCCCCAGACTCAATCCTAAATCTATTCTGCTTGAAAGAAAGAAAACTAACGTCGGCTTCCTGACCCTTTTGACCCACAGCGTTTCATGCAGTACCTTGCATCACGAAATAGCCTGTTCAATTTAAGCAACTTCCTGGATAAAAGTGTCATACAGGGTAAGAACAATGCTCTTATGGGAATGAAAGACAATTAGACAGACTAGGCTAGGCCCAGCCCACCAGAGTGCTCTGCAAACCCCAAAGAACCAGAAAACCAGGAGTGTTGGGCTGCTGACTTGCATTCCCCAAATGTACAAAGAGGGTGGAGCCTAGAGAAGACAAGCTTAAGGGTGGGGAAGAGATGTGGTATCTGAAGGGCTGGCATGTGGGTAAAGACACATCCAGGAACCACAATGAGGCCAAGTAGCTGGATGTGAGGAGCAGCTCCTTGGCCATCAGAGCTGTCTAAGAGAGGGATGACTAGGTTGCCAGGGGAAATGGGGGCTCGCTGCTCCCACCGAAGGGCTGCCAACAGAGGCTGGCTGACCGATTGACAGGCACGTTGGAGAAGGAATGGCTATAGTTTAGGTGAGGTCCTTTCCAACTCAGATTCTAAGATTCAGTTATTAATTTGCTTTTTAAATAAGCCATCTGATTAGTAAGATTTTCCCCCCTCTCATGGAATATGTAGATTAGAGATGTTTGTTGGTGATTCTTTAAATAAAAAAGCCAAAACCAACCAATAATGTTGAGGGGTGTGTGTGTGTGTGTGTGTGTGTGTGTGTGTGTGTGTGTGTGTGTGTGTGTGTGTCCCCGACCTTGTTGACCCTCCGCCCCAACCCAAGGCGAGCCACAAACAGAAGGTACTGGCAGGAAATTGTTTGCAAGGCCCCAAATGTTGGATACCCACTCGTGCCTTTAACAAGCTTTTGCCCAGCACCTGCTCCATGTGAGGCAGCTTTTGGTGGAGTGCTGACGATTGACAAGCTTTTTGTCTCACAAGCCATGAGGCTGGTGTTTAAAGCACATTTTTCTGTTTAAAAATAGTGACTTTACTTTTTAAGAGAGAGTATAGTATTCTAGTTTCTTTAATATTTATCGTTTTAAAAATCAGTGATGAGGCTATTGGAAAAAGAAAAGAGCCTTACCCTCTCAAGCAGTGCTCCCACAAAGAGACCAAGTGATTTAGTCATGTTAACAGGGAGCACATGTCCCTTGCTAGATTTCATGCTCGTATCATTCCCACCAGGTGACAGCAAGTCCAGCTAAGAGATGAAGTCATAAAGGGCTCTCTGTAAATCTGGTAGTGTAGTATGGTGAAAGAACTGGAGCCTGACCACCAGGAAGATTGAGACCTAATCCTGGCTCTGCCACACACCTCCAACAGCTTCCTTCTCTGTAAAATGAGGGGCTGATTAGGGTTCTACACACTGTCCAGATCATTTGGTAGACCTTAGCTCAGCCATTAGCCTGCATGCCCCACCTCTTCCAAGTTGACCAGGATTCCTGGAGGCCCACATAGCCTTTGGCCTGCTCAGCAACATCACTGTCACCACTGCCTCCCAGCTCCCTTGACCTCAGGAAGATCTCAAGGCTTTCCAGGGCTTTAAAAGTAGTCCTTTCTTATGAAAGTGTTACTGAGATGCTGGAAGAATTGGCATTGAAGGGTGTCCATCCCTTCTTGATCAACAGTTGTAGGACTGGGTGTTTTCGTTGAGAAATGGGGGACCATGGACTGTGTGATGATACACAGCTTTGAGCAGAACTTGTCTTTAGTATGTAGAAATAAATGTGATCAATTGGAAATAACCCAGATGTCTCCATTTCTAGGTTATGATATGTCTACCTTCATCAGGAGATATAGCAGATACTTGAATGAAAAAGCCCTTTCATATAGACTGGTAGCAGTTGACTTCACCAAAATGAAGAGAGGGTTAGTAAACATTTTCAGGTTTTAAAAAAGAAATTGCAGCCATGTGGAGAATTCTTGCCATATTATGATTTTTCCAGAACATAGTCAATTTCCAAATAGCAGGGATTTCTCCTGTCATTCTGGGCTTTGTGTTATCTGTTCTATAGGAGAGGCTCTGCATGGAGAAAGTCATGTGTGTGCCCCAGTGGCTCTGCTAAAGCTCTGTGCCCCTCTTGGCGTGGCATGTACGGGCCCTTCATTTCAGGCTAGCCATCCTCACCTCAGAGGGAGGGCCTTCCTTCCATTTGAGTATGGGCCTGGTGACACACCAGGTGTTTGTTGTCAGGAGGCTGGTCCTGCTCACTTGGGGAGGCTTCTTACCATCTTGGCTGCAGGGGGATGGGCTTGGCAACAGTGCAACCTTGGCCTAGCCCTGAGGCATTCATCATATCATTTGCCACACGACAGGGAGCAGCTCTTGCAGCGTCTCTGCTGAGCTGCATAGACCTTGCAACCTATCCCTACACAGGTTACACACTTGTGAAATGTCCACCCTTTGAAGCAGTGGGTAGACACATGTGCATTGTGCGTGTGCATAGGTGTTATGTGTATATTCACATATGCATCATGTGTGTATACACGTGTGCATGCACATGCTTGCGAGCTCACATTAGCTCCCTACACACATGTGGTTTGTCTTTGCAGGCCTGATGGGGTCATGAGGACCATGGGTACTGACAAGCTCCTGAAAACCCTCCCAGTTATTCAGAACCAGCTCGACGTTCTACTTGATTTTGATGTGAGAATTTTCTTTTTAAAAATACATTTGAATTGCTCTCTTTTGTTTTCACCTTGCCTCGATTTCCCCTTGTGCCCTTCCCCCCCCCCGCCCCTGAGCCATCCCATGTAACCGAGACTTTTTTCTTTAAAGAAAAAGAGAAAAAAAGAAGTCAGCATAATCCATTGATACGATGAAAAGCATTGGGCAAAATGCACCTGGTCCCACATCCGGAGGTGTGGAGGGGGCCCAGCTTATTCTTCATAATTTCCCAGCATTCATGTGTGATTGTTCTCTGGTTTGTGTGTGAAATGTTCTTTCCATTTACATGATTATAGTCACTGTATAGACTGTTTCCTTGGCTCTGCTGCCTTAGTTCACCTGGGTCTTTCCAGCTTTCTCTGGATTCATCACACACATCACTTCTTATAGCACAGGAATCTCCCATTACATTCATGGACCACAGTGTGTTGAGCCATTCCCCAATTGATGGGCATCTGCTTTGTTTCCAGTTTTTTGCTACCACAAAAGTACTGCTATAATTTTATGGGTGTATATGAGGGCTTTTTCTCAGTGGCCTCATCTAAGCCCAGCAGTAGACTCTCTGGGTCACAAAGTGGACATTTTTGCCCCTTGATTTACCCAATTCCAAGTTGCTTTCCTGAATAGTTGTACTGATTCACAGTTCTACCAGCATCACACTGGAGGACCTGTCTCTTCTGACCATCCTTTGTCATCTGGGCCAGTTGGCAACCTTGGAGTGGTTGGGACTTCTTTCTCTTAGTATTAGTATGTGGGGCATTCTTTCAGACGGTTGTTAATAGTTTCCAATTCTGCTTTTGGCAGCTGTTTGTTCCTAGTCTTTGATCTAGTGGGGAACAGCTTTTGTTTTGGGTATTTCTCTTGTCTTTATATCTTGGTTACCAAACCCTCCTCTGAGCAATTCAATAGAACCCTTTTCCCCTATTTACTTCTTCTCTCCTCAGCCTAATTGTGTTAGTTTTGCTCGTTTGTCTAGAAGTTTTGTAATGTCATATAATCGAGAGTCTCCGTGTTATCTTTTTTAATTGCCTCTGTCCCTTGTTGGTCTAAGAATTCCTTACCTACCCAGGGATGGCAAAGGGAGATGATCTGACATGATCATTTTCCAGGCCATCTTTGTATCTGTTTGCTAATGGAGATGATGGGAGGTTTGGTCCCCTCCTGTTCGCTGATTCCCCTGTCATCCACAGGCTCATCCCAATGAACTCACAAATGGTGTCATCAGTTCGGCCTTCATGCACCTCTTTAAGGATTCCATCAGGCTGTTTGCAGCCTACAATGAAGGGATTATTAACCTGCTTGGTATGTTGCTACTTTTCTCAGGTCAGAGAGGGAGGGAGGGGGGCAGTTTGCTTTCTGAATTCAGTTGAGCTTTCATTGGATCCCCTTTATTCAAAGCCATTCCCTTTTCCTTGGTGTAAGCCAAGCTCCCCAGAGGCTGCCAAGACCATTGCTTATAGACAAATGCGGCCTTTGCCAAGTACTGAGGCATAACTTAGTTGGTCCCATTGACACACTCGTGCCCGTTCTCCAGGGCCCTGCAGCAGAGCCTTAAGCCTGGCTTCAGATTGTCATATTCAGGTAAGAGCATCCTACTGAAATAGCTCTTCGTTTTTTTCTCAGAGACTCCAGGAAATTGCTTTTCTCCCTGAAATGGCCTGGCAGTTCAGTTCTGGGACTGAATGCTCTCTAGACTTATTTTTGGCCATTTGAGCTAGTTTTTATTATCAGCATTCTCTCAATTGTAGAGAAGACAAGCAGAATGGCCAGAGGGCCAGATTTGCAGGCTGGAAGAGCCAGCTTCTAGCTCTCCCCCAGACACCTGCTGGCCAAGTTAATGTCACCTCAGGGCCTCAGGTAACTCAGGGAAAGGGGCATGGCCACAGAGGAGGTCCCCGTGCTGTCATAGGTCCAGTCCTCCAAGCCATTTGGGTCCAAAAGAATACAAATCTGCCTTTCTTTTCTTGGCTTCCAGTCTAATTGGGGGTATTGCATTCTGAGAATCTATTTGCTTCCATAAACTTGTGTCCAGAATGGACACAACAGGGCAGAGGTGGGTGGTCTCTTTTATGGAAGGAGATTTCTTTAAAAATGATCATCGCAAAGGAAAACCCCTTCAAATGCAGCCATTCACAAGGATCTCAAGAGCGCCGCCACCCCCCCCCCCCCCCCCTTAGGACTCACTTAGAGTCTTCCTAGGTGTTTGGAGCCTTTGTCTTTTGATTTTAGAAAAGTACTTTGACATGAAGAAGAACCAGTGCAAAGAAGGGCTGGAGAGTTACAAGAAGTTCCTGGGAAGAATGGCCAAACTGTCAGAGTTCCTGAAAGTTGCCGAGGTAACATGACGAGAGCCCATCACCACTCTCTCTCTGTTCCTGTTCCCATGGCTGGCTGCCCTGCTCAAAGTGCAGGGCCTGGTTTCAGCAAGGCTTGGATTCAAATCCTACCCCTGCCTCTTACTGAGTGTAGGACTCTGGGCAAGTTCCTTCTCCCCCTCTCTGGCCTTGATTTCTTTGTCTCTAAAATGGGAGGAATAACTTTTGTAGTGCCTGCTCCCCTGGGGTGGTTTTGGGGAGAGGATGAGATCTATGCTTTGTAACCTAGGTGTCAGTGGTTGGTAGTCTCTCCCAGTTTGTTGATGAATTACTTTCTTTTAGAAAAATGTTGCTACTCTTGGATTTTTATCTCCCCTTCATTTCCGAATCTGTCCCTTCCCCTCCCCTGCCCAGAGAGCCATCCCTTGTTACAGACAACAAAAAAGACGAGTAAAAAGGCAGTTCTACCCAAATGCCAGAGCCCTGCAATCTGGCCAGACTGTCCCTATGGAGATTAGACAGCATCCGTTGAGGTTCACACGGGGTAGTTTAGTGTTGTGTCCACGTTGTTTTGAAGGACATTCCTTAATCAGGACGATATCCTGTGGCTGCAGAAAAATGACCAGAGTCTCTCCTGCTCCATAAGCTTCATTCTTGTGTTCCCTGGAGGAGCTGAGCCTGCTGGGAAGGCTCTGTCGTTCTTTGGGGCTTGGCTCAATTGCATGTACTGAATTCTAGCCAGACATAGCTATTCCAGGACAGAAACGAGGAATCTTCTCACTAGCATTTTCACTGTAATATAAGCAAACACCAATTCCACAGGTCCACTGTGACTTCTGTCCCTCCGGTCATCACCAAGCATGAGTTAAGCACTCTAGGTCAAGCGCTGGGAAGGGCCTGAGACACAAATACAAGGACTTACAACATGTTCCCAGATGAGTCAACATGGGGTTCCTACAAAATGCATAATGATTGGGCAGCTAGGTGGTGTAGTGGTTAGAGCACCGGCCCTGGAGTCAGGAGGACCTGAGTTCAAATCCGGCCTCAGACCAAACACTTGACACTTACTAGCTGTGTGACTCTAGGCAAGTCACTTAACCCCAATTGCCTCATCAAAAAAAAAAAAAATGCGTAGTGATTAGCATGACCAACTGGGGAAGTCAGGAAAGACCTCTTGAAGAGAACTAGAAATTATGAAAGGCAGAGTTGAGGAGGGAGGGCATTGTGGGGTATTTGATAGTATATACCTCTAAGGGGGAAGGCAATGAGAAGGAGTAGGAGATAGGAGATAACATGAGCTGTATGGGGAGTAGCAAGCAGGCCCTTTTGGCTGACTTCCAACACAGACTGGCTGAGTGACCCTGGGCAAGTGATGTCGCCTCTTGGGACATACTGAGAGAGAGGCTAGAACCAGGTTGGAGTGCCTCTGAATCCCATACAAAGGAATTTATATTTTAACCCGAAGACAGGAACCTGGACACTTCTTGAGCAGAGGAGCGACATGGCCAAGCCTCTGTATTCAAAACCCTCTCTTGGCTGCCTGGGGGAGGGCTGGATATGGGGGATGAGAAGGAAGAGGCAAGGAGGACACTGGTGCTACAGACCTCTGTGCCTTTGCCACTGACTGTCTTAACTGCTCTTTTTTCTTACCTCTCTCATGACTCCAGCAAGTTGGGATTGATCAGGCTGATATTCCCAATCTTACTCAGGTCAGTGTCCTCTTGGGGTTGCTTTAGCCCATTTACCTCCATCCATCCTTCAGGGATCACTCCATTCTGAGAATCCATTTGCTTCCATAAACTTGTGTCCAAAACACCGTCCCTAAGTGATGAGTTCAAGTGTCTTGGTGCTCTTCCATTTCTGTGATGGAAAGGTGGCATGGGACAGGGTGGAAGCGGGGCAGCATGGGATGGAATGGGATGGGTTTCAATGCTTTCTTACGAATTTCCTTAAGGACCAAAGATGGGAGGTAAATGGGCTCTTCTATGGTGTATGCTTGCTAACAATACCTATTTTTAGTCCGTGTTTGTGCTTTCGTTGGTATATGGAGTTTCCAGTGAGGAAAGTCCCTCTGCCACTGCAGTTTGCCACTTGCCCTGCAGGGGAGAGTCGTAGAGAATTGCCCAGATGTTGCCTCAGCTCACCTTGCCAGTGGGGGTCAGAGGCCTTCCTGATTCTCATGCTGCCAAAACTGCTTTTTGGTTAGCTATGTATAAATGGGGAAATCCTACAGCAATGCTGCCAGGGGGAGCTACAGTACACTGAGTGCCAGACCTGGACTTGGAAGCCCCGAGTTCAAATTCGGCCTCATGATCTTCACACCCTTTGCTGTGTGACCTTCTGCTTGCCTCCATTTCCTCATCTGTAAAATGAGGATAATGATGGCACCTACCTCTCAGGGTTGTTGTGAGGATCAAATGAGATCATCATTGTAAAGCAGTTTAGAAATCTTCAAGTGCTCTGTAAATGCTGGCAATGATTAATAAACAAGTCAGTATTTATTAAGAGGATCTGTGTACCCAGCTCTGACACTTGTTGCCTCTAGGGACCTTGAAGGAGTCCTTGCCCTTCTGTGGGCCTCGGTTGGACTTGATGATCTCTAAGCTCTCAGTCGTGACTAGTCTATTCTCCTGAGGGCATAGCACACCTCCAGAGACAGGTGTATAGAGAGCAGCCTGGTGGCAGGGAGTGGGGGCAGAGGCCACCCCTGCCAGGGCCCTGCCTGTGGAGTCGCAGAAGGGGCTTGGGGGGGGGATTCCTTTGAGTGGGTTTGTGTAGAACTTCTATGGTGGAGAAGGAGAAGATGGTTGGGCTTCAAACAGGGGCCCTTGTTGATCTCTCTGAGGTCTCTCCCTTTAGGCCCCAAGCAGCCTGTTTGAAGCGCTAGAACAACACGTGGCTTCTTTGGAAGGCCGCAGAACCAAGGAACTTTTGGTGGCTTACAGGTGAGTGACCACATAGCTGCCTTGACCACACCTTTTCTTTTCCTCTACATGCCCGCCCTGTTGCCCATCTCATTGGGTACCTTGGGCCCAGAAAGGAGTGAAAAGACATCTCTTTGCAGGGGCTCCTGGGCCCCCTCCAGCCTTAAATCTCTGACCCTGTGAAGTCACATTTTACCCATACACCTTTGTACCTGAGAACCAAGTCAAAGGTTGGACAGTCATTGCCCTTCTCACTGAGGATGGGGAACTGGGCATGACTGAGGGCATGAGCTGACAATTGATCTCTCCTCTCTTTACTGGCAGTTGTACCAAGCACCCTGGGCTTGACCAGCAAGGAGCCAGGTTTGCACTCAATGGCACAGAAAGCATTCCTAGAGGTTTCGGAGGTTAAAAGTATCCCCTTTATAGCACAGATCTCTGTCTCTCAATCTTTGCCCCTTTATCTCTCGTTCCTATCTCTCCTTTCTCTCTTTCTCTTTTTCCTTCTCCCCCATCCTTTCCCTTCTCTGACTCTCCTCTCTCTGTCTTCCTTTTCTTTCCCTTTCTCCCTCTCTGTCTCCTCCTCCTCTCCCATCTTTCTGTTCCTACTCATAGGCCACCAGGCCCTTCCTTCTCTTCCTCCCCTCCTACCCCCAGGCTCCTAGCCCGTTCGCCCTGGCCCTTCTTTCTTTCTTCTCATCTCTCTGTCCCTCCTCTCTTCCCTTCCCTCAAGCCCCTCAGTTCTCTTTCCACATTCCCTCTCTCTCTGTCTTTGTCTTTCTCTCCCCTTCTATATGTCCCCATTTACAGGCCCACAGTCCCCTTCTCTTTTCCTCCTTTTCTCTCCCTTTTTCTGAGGTCCATAAGCCCTCCTTTCTCTCTCCATTTTTCTCTTTCTTTTTCACTGTTTCTCTCCTCTCACTTTCCCTTTCTCTCTACCTTTCCCTCAGACCCCCCCCCCCCCCCCCCCCCCCCCCCCCCCCCCC